AGATATGTCAGATAGAATGCCAGAAGATATGTCAGATAGAATGCCAAATAGAATGTCAGAAGATATGTCAGATAGAATGCCAGAAGATATGTCAGATAGAATGCCAGAAGATGTGCCAGTAAGAACATGTATAAATGTCATGGTGGGGATCACACGAAGTCATAGGGGCCCCGCCCGGCTGTTATCATCCAGCTGGTGGCTCGCCGGCCGGATCCCAGGGATTCCCTGGGAGAATCCCAGCCACCGTGGTCCCCAAAAGAGGCCACGGGCCCCCGGTCCCAGTTGGATGTGGTTTTTTCCATATGGAATATATCTGGTATATAGGGAATGGTATCTATATTTGAGTTGTCCCAAGTCTGCTACAGACTGTGAACCCTGTAATCATTAAAAATACAAAAAGAATACAAAAAAAATACAACTCCAAATTACAAAAAAAATACAACACTGAGCAGGGCAAAATTATCAACAAAAGGAAAATACAACATACATTGATGGATTCGCGGTTTTGTTCTTTGACGGCATGTCTAAAGAACGCAAAAAATACAAAAGGACAAAGTGCAATCTGTGAAGGACTGGAAAAATACAAAAAAATACAAAAATACAAATTGCATTTTTGGACGTAATGGAAAAATACAAAAAAAATACAAAAATACAAAGTGCATTTTTTTTTGTATTTTATTTGTATTTTTTTGTATTTTTACAAAAAAAAATACGAAAAAAATACAAAAAAAATACGAATGCAATTGCTCAAAAATACAAAATACAAAAAAAATACGAATCAACAATTTCAAAAATACAAAAAACAAAAAAAATACGAACCCAAAATTTCAAAAATACAAAATACAAAGAAAAGACAAATTCAAAAATAAGCGAGAGAGCCAACCCCGTGTTCACTTTTGGAAATCAGGAACCAAAATACAAAAAAAATACAAAACCAACCAGTTGTATTTTCCAAACCCTGCAGTTCTGATTGTGTATTTTTGGGTTGTATTTTTTTCGTATTTTTTTTGTATTTTTAAATATTGGTAGAAGACCCTTCTGTAGCCACCCCGGACAACTCAAATCTATATAATGAAGGATATCTGGGAATTAAAAAGGGAATTCTATACCACTCTATATATTCAAACCATGGTATATATAATGAAACATATGGAATGAATGAAGATAGAGCCAACAATGGCCTTCCTAAGAGTAGCTCACATGGATTCTTCAATCATCTTTAGACATGCTATTCCCCATGGATCGATGAAACCCCTTTCTGAAAGCCCGTAGGCATGATGCCCAAAGCCAATCAAATACCTATAGCCACAAAGCAACAACTCTGGCTTATTGAAACTGCTTAACTTGCCTCAAATAACAAGAGTGAACCAAAGCAATGAAGCTTCATTAATTGGGGTCCAATTCATTTCTGGCAGTTCACTGGGGATGTTTTATGTCCTTGGGTTTACCACATAACCCTACAAAAAAATAATCTGTTTAGCTGGTGTTTGTACAGTATATGTTCTCACCGATGGCAAAGAAAGTAATCCACTACCCTCTGGTAAATTACCATGGATTCAGAAACCCATGGACTTCAATAGGAACATGATCGTCTACATTTTCATGGTGGGTTCTCGATATCATGGTCAACGTATATGGTCACTATATATCATATAGTATATAGTTATATAGTTATCCATTCCTAATGGAAATCCTTATGATGGTTGTGTTAGATATCAAAATGGATTGATGGGTGTATAATCCAAGTTATGATATCCCATGAAGTCTCCATGTTTGATACACAAAAAAAACATGTGTTTCAAGTGCCTGGTCTCAATCCTCCTGCTTCCAACGACCCAAGCAGTTCTGGTGCCATCCACTGTGGGGAACCTGGGTGTGTAGGTTATAAGAGAATGGGGTCACGCAAAATGGCCATGTTGATGAAAAATGATGATAAACCGATAAACCAGTGGATTTAGAGGGTAATGTGGCTGTAGAGGGCCATGGATCTAGTTCACAGGGACTAAACAACTTCATAGGATGTATTTTCTGGCAACCGTTTAATACCATACATGTATATATAATTATATTTATATATATACTATATACCAAAAAACGGATGCTTGTATAGTACCAAAGGGAGAGTAAAAGTCTGTGTTCTCTTGGGTCTTATTGTTTCATGCATAGCCACATGTTGATAAACAAGGATGCCTTTCGGGGAGAAACATCTTTGGCTTATGGTAGACCCTTTGCCAGTTTATACAAAGTCTGGCTAATGGCGTACCTCAAAAATCAAATGGATAATTGGATAATCATCACCATCATCACCATCATCAAATGGAAGTTTAGAAGAAAAGTTGGTAATCATCAAATCATCACCATCATCAAAGGAAGTTTAGAGTTTAGAGGTCTAAACGGATTTTCAGAAAGTGAAGAAAGTCAATCACCACCATCATCACAATCAGCCACATCACCATCCCAAATCACCACATCACAACATCACCACGGGACGGACCGCAGCAACGTGCAGCCATGTTAGTTAGCAAACTGAAAACACAGACGAACACAAACAAACGCAAGAAGATGTCAAGGGAATACTGAGATATGAACACAGAGAGGTCGTGAGGACAGCATGAAGAAGGATAGGTCAAGAGAAAGTCTGTTTTACGGAAAACCTGATCCAGAAGAGAGCAGGGAAGTGAAGAGAAGGGAAGTGAAGACCGTGGGGACATTCAAAAAAAACAAAAACAAGGGAAGTGAAGACACTAGAGAAGTGAAAAGAGTAGGGAAGTGAAGAGAGTAGGGAAGTGAAGAAAGTAGGGAAGTGAAGAGGGTGGGAAGTGAAGAGAGAGGAGAATGAAGAGAGCAGGGAAGGGAAGAGTGAAAAGAGCAGAGAAGTGCAGAGAATAGGAAAGTGAAGAGAAAAAAAGAATAGAGAAGTGAAAAGAGAAGGGACGTGAAAAGATTAGGGAAGTGAAAAGAATAGGGAAAGAAGTTTGTCAGGAGAGAAAACTGTGTCAGGTCTCGGGCTTCACAGCTGTCAACTGGAGGAGCTGTCAAGATTCGAAGATGACAAAGGCAAACCGGATCAAGAGAAAGCGGCATCATCAGAAATCTCCAAGAGATGACGGCGCAGTGAACGGCCGTGAGAGCCAGGCGGTCAGGCGTGATTCCTATAGGCTCTCCGGCTCTCCCTTCTCTTATCTTCTCTTCATAGGCTTCCCCCCCTCGAAACTTCCGTCATCCGGCTTGCCGGGGCTCTACTGGTAAGTTTGCTAAAAGACCGCTAGTGTATTTCAAAGATTTTGAGAGAAAGTCATGGTTTTCAATCAAGTCATCTAACATTCTCAAACTTGGAGAAATTACCATGCAATTCCTATACATGATATATCTTTCATATGTGTGTACACAGGATTGATGTAGTATGGTCAAAATGGGAATTGAAACCCCTACACAAAACAGAATGGGTATACAATTCAATGGCTGATATTGAAATGTCAAACAAAAAAGCCAAGGCCATTAATATGACTCTGGCTGTGATTGGGATAACAAAAGAAACTCATATGACTATTGTCAATTGTTGTCTCAGTACTTATCAAATATATAGTCCCACCACATGACGATGATCCCATACGAAATGACTAACTAGAGTCGCTAGAGCTATTGGGATAACTAGAGCTATTGCTGTGGCCATTGGATCTTTGGCCGGGTGGGATGTCCATGCCTCAGGTCTTTAGTAACTTTAGTAAGTGTGTCCCAAATCCCGAATCTGTCTGTATTTTGTGAACCGCCTAAGGAAAACCAATGTTCAAAGAGGCATGATCAAGTCTGACATGTAATTAATACAATTGTTTATCAGTTTTCATGATGAAAACATATATAACATATAAAACAAAACATAGTTCCGTAGTAAACAAATAACATGATTTTACATCCAGCCACCAGTGGTGCATAGCGAGGCCCAAGTCTGGCACTTTCCAAGAGGGTCGGCAAATACACCACAGATTCGGAATTGACATGGCGAAGCTTGGATACCCCTCTGTTTTTTTTTTTAATAGCCGAGGCAGTCCAAATCAAAACAACTAAAACCGGTTATTGTAAAAAACATATCCTCTTCAGGAAAAAAACTATATACATATATACATATATATATATACATATATATAGTATTATATAGTAATCATAACACAGACATATATATATATACACTATTATTATATAGTAATGATAACCACCATAACAATAATACATGAATAACACAACAACATTGGGATCCCCTATCGGCTTTCTCCAAGATCGTGATTGGGATCCCCTACCTCCTGACATCTTCTGATGCGACTTTCGAAGAACGCTCATTCCAAAGTCCACCAGCACCGGAGTCAGACTGGCCGGCGATGGCTTTCCGGCGCGTCGGATAAAAAGATATAAAAAGCATGTTCGTTGAAGCCAAAACGATGGACAACAGCGATTTAAACGTGAAAAACTGGTTGGCCTCTGAAAAATGATGGAGTTCGTCAGTTGGGAATATTATTCCCAATATATGGAAAGTCATAAAATTCATGTTCCAAACCACCAATCAGTTCAATAACGTTAAAATAAATGTTGTATCCTTTTGGGGTTGGGGATGCTATAATTGAAAAACTTAAGACCTATCTCCTTTGGGGTGCGCTGGGCTTACTCCCCAGGAGAGGAATCATTCTACTCATCGACCAGGACCCGACTGGCAATGGTTTCTTCACCGGTAGAGAGGACTGGAAGAAGCTGAAACCATAGGAATTACAGGAAAACAGCTGCTTTTATTGCGCAGTTATAAGAGTACGGTCAGTATTAGTATGATACTATGAGGCATTGATCAAGAAGAATACCCCCAAAGAATTCAGTATAGTCACATTTACCTTTAGAACCTCTGCCCCCCAAAAAATGGGGACACGGGACACTTTGCATCCCAAATCTGACACCATCTATCCAAGCTATTTCCAGCAAAATCCGATACGCCATGACCAAAACGCCCTGGTCTCGATGAATCTTTAAGAAATATTCCACAAAAAAAAAAGGTTAAGCACTGGTCATGCTTATTGATTGTCCAATCACATCATCATATAACATATATATATATAGCATTCATCATACTCTCATGATGGTTGAATCTCATTATAATTCCAATATATTCCGATTATCTGGCTGAATTACATATGACCATTTGCCAAAAATAATTGACATAAATTGTGTACTAGTTGTTGATAATTAGTGTGGACCTAGTTGTTTTCCTCTTCGTTATGAGGCGGCACACAACTAAATTCACCAATTCTGCAAGGCAGCGCTAGCAAACCCGCTAGGTTTGCGCTAGTTTTTTTTCACACCCATGTTCAAGGATATTTTGTTGTGTTCCTGTCTCTGCTTGTTATTTCAACATGAAAGAAAGTCAAAATGTAACACTTAGCTCCTTAAACCTAAGAATGTCTTAGTGAATTTCTGTGCTACTCAACAATTTTCCTATATTTTTGAGGTTGCGGCTCAACTTTGCGAATTTGTACGTAATTTTGCCCGCTAGAAACCCGCTAGCAATGCGCTAGCAAAAGTTTCAACCCAAGGCTTCGGTTGACCCGTGACCCAGTCGCCACCAGAGAACTTGTAGTTTATCCTGTCTGTTTGACAAAAGCAACAGTGACAGCAAAGGCAACGACCAGCTCTGCAGATATTCCAGTTCCACCTCTAACAACTAGCAGCGGCACCCACTTCTTATAGACGCGCGTTAGCATTTACTGCAGTTTTAGCTACGGCTTCAAACACGAAAGATAAAATGCAGGGCTTCAGACTATTTAGGTCAGTCATGGTTTTAAAGGCATAATAAGAAGCGGCACGCAAGGAATTACGATTTATCAACAAAACCAGGAAAAGACATTTTAGCAAACCGTCATATGCCAATTCACTGACCTGATAGCTGAAACTTGCGGCCAAAGGACTGGGGGGAATGATTCCCGGAATCCAAAAAACTCATCAGTCGACGGAAAACGATGTGAGGTCATTTTTCCATTCATGCAGAATCAAGTGGTTTATCTATGTTTACCCTCTGGTAAACTAACATAGCTATTGAAAATGGCCATTTATAGTGGATTTTCCCATTAAAAATGGTGATGTTCCATAGCTATGTTAGTTTACCAGAGGGTATCTCCCACACATCCCTTATGAATTATCAATAAAGAATTGTACTACCATTATGACTAGAATCCATGGTGCTGGTATATATGCTAACATAAAGGGGGTATATTGATGGGATCCATGTTACCATATATAGCACCATGGATCCTATGGGTAGTAGAAACAATGGGATCCCGGATCCATCATGCCCATTTTGTCTTTTTTTTAATCATATTACCATCTGGTTATGACTAACGATTTGCCATGGAAAGATCCACCATGTTATTAATAGCTAAAGCCAGGTAAACCATCTATTTCTATGGGCCATCTATACCATGGCTATGTTAAATTACCAGAGGGTATATCATATTTACGGGCGGTATAAACAATCAATTTATATGGGTAGTTCATGACATTGGTATACTAGCGTTGCTAATCATCCAGAATGATAATCTCACTATACCATCTCATATCTGTCTTATTCCATTATTACTAATCATCCAGAATTATGGGTGGTATATCCCAGTATTATTGCGTTACTACATTTGACTATCCAAAATTACAAATTTCGCTAGGTACATTTAAACATGCCAGATACGGATGTTTGAATATACGAACTGGTATTTTAGACTTTAAATATACGGATTCTGAATATGACAACGGCCATTTGAATATACAAACAGAACTTGTATTTCATACTACCTCCGGGACCGCGTGGTCTGGCCCGCCTTCCAGATATTCAAATGCCGTTACCGTATTGTTATTACCATAACCATATCCATATCCTACGGTGGATGGGAGAAATCCTGCACCAGTTGATAAATGGTTTATCCCATTATTTATAGGCTTTCAACCATCCTTTTGGTGCAGGATTTCGCTGGCCCATCCATATCCTATCATAGCCAGCATCTTTTACCCTCTGATAAATTAACATAGACCCTGGCAGTCATCGGGGTTGGAAGACTAGTTTCCATTAAAAAATTGTGATTTTCAGGGTCCAACTGTTAATTTACCAGAGGGTAATGATCACTACATTCCCCACATTCCCCACCTTCCAGATCTCAAGAGCACATTCTTCGGAGACAAATCCCCGTGAAGCATCGAGGGACCCTGGAGGTGATTGAAAAACGAAAAAAACATGTTGCCACTGGAAAACCATAGGAAAACCATAGGAAAACCATAGGAAAACCATAGGAAAATGGTGATTTAATGAGGCTTTATGGTGGTTGAATGGAATTGTTCATGGGATTTACCCGGCCTGGTAATGACTACAGTTTGCGAACTTGAAGCCATGGCCAGTCGAAATAGTGAGTTTTCCCATGAATAGCATGCTGGATGTTCCAGTTCGCAAACTGTGAGTTCGTTTACCAGGCCGGGTAACCAGCCATGACATGATCATGACATGGATTTGCATAAGGAACCACCAAAAAAATAAACATCTGGGTAAATTATAATATTTCACTAACCTGAATTAAGGCCCATTTGGGGTTGGTTTCCCTTATGAACTATGATTCCAGTGAGGTCGCAGTGAGGTCATTATAATTTACCCAGAAACATAAAATCCATATAGATTCTCCAAGTGGATCCAGTCGTAGTGGATTTCCCATGGAGAAAATCATAAAAATCCTCTTCAGATAATCCAAGATGAAATATTTTGGGTGAAAAATGGAGATGTGGTGGTGACACCATGGGATATAATATATATCATCTGGTTATTTAACATAGCCATGGAAAATCCCTTATAAATGGAGGTATTAATGGGAAAATCATCTATAAATGGGCCATTTTCCATGGCTATGTTAAATAACCAGAGGGTATATATATATATATATAATCTGGTTTGTGGTTGACCTACCCCTCTGAAAAAAATGATGGAGTGAAAGTCAGTTGGGATGATGAAATTCCCAACTGAATGGAAAGTCATAATCCAGTCCATGGTTCCAGTCACCACCAGCAATAATAGGATGTTCAATGAATTTAACAATCTGGGAATGTTTCTGGATATCTTCTAGTCAGATTGGCTATCTCGGTTTCACATGATTCCACCATTGATTTACTGCCATGAGATTACAGCATTTTCAGACAACACTAGTGGTTTTATTTGTTGGAGAAACTGGTTCAAGGTGTGTGGGAAAAAGGAGTTTCTTTTACAATCTATATGGTATCTGATGGATCCATGGATGTGTATGGTATGGATGATGTAATAATGGAGAACTCCCATGTTACCATGTTCAAGAGAAAACAACCATTTTAATATCAAGATAGGTGTTCCTTGTTCAACATTTTGAGGTAGGGGTTGTTCAAAGGACGACACCGAAACTGCTGCAGAATTGAGGTCATTTCTCTAGATCAACCGATGCACCTTCATGGTGGAAAATCCTGATGATATATGAATCAGACCATTCTCAGATTACAAAATCCTCAGTGTGCTCTCAAACTATCGATTTCTCTGTCTAAATACGAATTGTTTTCAACATAACGTCTATAGAAAGGTCTAAAGAATCAGAGGCCTGGCCCACCGTCAGTTCCACTCCAAAGAGGATCCAATCACCCGCGCTGCGCGCCTGATCGTGCAAATATACCAGAGCTTGGCAGAGAATTTCCAAGATCTCGCGGCGTTTTCCTTCGGAAAGCCTGACCACTCTGGACCCAAATTCGGATGAAAAGTTCTTCAATGGATGGCTTCAAGCTGCCCTTCAAATAGGAATCTCTGGAATCGGAGAATGATCCAATTGGTGGGTTTTCCGCATTGAATTCTGTTCGTTTAAAGGACCCGGAGAGTAGCGAGGGGAATCTCAACTACTTCGGATCTGCCGTCGAGTCACTCCGGAGAATCTCGATGTAGAATTGCGTCCTAAGTTTGGCAACGAGTTTGCCCGGCGTGTTCAGTGTAATGGGGTCCCCCTTTGGCCCTGATGCCAAATCAAAATGGCTCTATTTATCATACATGTATCAGATATATATATATATATCAATAGATATAGATATAGATAATAGATATAGATAATAGATATAGAGAATAGATATATAGATAATAGATATAGAGAATAGATATAGAGAATAGATGTAGATAATAGATATAGATATAGGTATCAGTTCACATGTGATATATATATATATAATTATATATATACACATATGTTTCATGTATAAGTGTAAAACAATAGATCTATATATATATAATATACATATGTCATATATTTTAAATATATATATATACCATGAAATAGGCCTGTTGCACCCAAAGTCCCATATACTGCATAAAATGGGGCCACAGAAAAAGTGTGGGTCACACCATTGCCCGGAATCCATGTTTTTTTTTGCTTAGGACATCCCACTGATAAGTGGTTTTGTTTCAGTTGAGCTACTAAAAACGAGTTTACTTCATTGATTCTTAGTGGGGAAACCTATGGAAACCTGGTTCATTGGTTCTTAGAACATCTTATAACTAGGTAAATCGTTTTAATGCATCATATTATACAAAATATTCCCATCATTAATGATGGTTTTATATATATATATATATCATATTCCCATAATATTATATACGAGATTCCCATCATATTCCCATCATATTCCCATCATATTCCCATGGATCTTCCCCCATAATTGTTTCATGAGATGGGAAAACCCTTGAACGAACTTCCGCTTCAAGGGTGGTCAAGGTGGTGCCGGCCAAGGCTCGAAAAGGCTCAAACCGGGTACAAACTCCTGAAATGGCCAGGATGCGGCCGATTGTGTACCCAAAATGGATTTGCAAAGCGACTGTACCTATGAATATTATATATATATCATTATATATCGGTGTTTATTCATTTAGTTATATGTGCATGCATGCATGCATCTATATGCACTTATAAATTATTGCGTTTTTTTAAATACATATTATGTGTATATAATATATATATATATAAATTTATGGGCCACGGTCAATATTTCGCATATAGCTCCAAATCATCAATTTTTGAAGAGTGTACTATCTATCGTTTTTCAGGTTTGGGGAATATAGCAAATGTTATCGTTTTCTGAAGAGTGTATTATCGTTTTCCAAACCCCAGCGCATTTTCAAAAAAATAAAGATGTCTCGAATACTACTTTCCATTACGGTAAATCTTGGTTGCAGCTCAAATACATATTTGAGTACATTCATAGATTATAATGCATCTAACTATCACTTGGATTTCTGCACCATGAAGTTTTGACTCATCCCAAACAAAAATCCTGATTTTTTTTCACATGTTTCAGGATCTTCGGAGTGTAGCTGTCCTCAACAATCAAAACGATACTCCGCGATTCTTCAATACATGCGCCATAGAACGTGACGATGGACCTCAGCGCAAGGGCAGTTGGTGACACATGGCAAAAAAAACGATCCCTCTCATCTTGGGGATTGGGCGTTTTTGTAGCCTTACAAATTTGTCCGCATCTTTCTGTTCTTCCGTTGTTCCGTATTTGTTGCGGAAATCCAAATTGATGGAAATAGTTATACATCACAGTGATCCTTCAATGGAATATCATACATCACCAGTGTGGTTCATCCTCCAGTAAACTAACATAGTTGTGGAACATGGCCCACTTAGTTCGACGATTTGCGGTGTTTTGATTTTTGTTGTTTTTTCATGGCAAAACGTGAAAATAGATTGAAGTAACGTTCACATGGGGATTCAACATGTTTCCGGAAAAAAAAAGTGACGCCCCCAAGGATTGATGGTAATAAACCCTTGTAACCGTGTTTGTTGGTGGTTCATTAGCCTTTAATCAGTAGTTAATAAACAAACATTAAACCCTCAATACGCCCTGACATTGTTGGAGGGTCATGTTCCCATTATTTCAAATTATGTTCCGATTACATCCCTCAGGATTGATGGTTAGTAAACCCTTGGACATGTGGTCCTGGTTGCTGGTGGTTAATAAACCATTCGTAAACCCAAACATTGTTGGGGAGTTATATCCCATTCATCTCCCAATTATTTTCACTATTCACTTATTCACCATATCTCTCCATTACATACCATATTTTCCCATTATATCCCATGAAATATCCCACCTGGAAGCCGTGATTTTTTAGCCGGTGAACGGTTAAATCCTCACGATTTTGGGGGCTCTGTAGCAGCTGGGCCGCGGATGTCGCAAGCGCCGCAGGACACGCAGTTCTTTACCTCCGGCGAAGCCGAGCTGAAGTGATTTGGTTTTAGGGCATGAGACAAGTTTATCAAAGGAAGTTTGGTTATAGAAAACTTCCGAACTACGGACGATGGTCATGGATAACATTCATACATTCATACCATCATGTCCACCACATCATCAGTCAACCACTCATCATCAAGTAGTTGGGAAGTGTAACAGTTCGGAAGCATGTGAATTCACGGCTGAAAACACTCTCGGACGCAAAACCCTGTGGTTTTGGAGTACTGTGGCTTGGCTCCTGGGATCGCCGAAGTGGGGTCTTCGGGTTCGCTCCTCGATCTGGGAAAGTGCTCCACAAAAGTGCACGGGACAGAAGCAAGAGATCGATATGAGATCGATTTGCACTTCAACATGTTAAAGAAACTGAGGCGTCGGAGCACTTTGGGAAGATGGAGTGAGTTGGCAAAAAGTGCACGCTACGACTTCAGAAAAAAGAAAAGTAAAAGCACAAGCACAGAATCGTCCCCAGTGTCCGCGCTGCGCGAACGTTGGTCGATTTGGTGTGACGCTCCTGCTATGCAGGTTTGCAACCGGCTGTGACAAAACGTATTGACACGGCTGCGCGCAGCAAAGCAAGAGTGATGCTGCGACGCTCCTGGCAAGCGGGATTGCAGCTGGAGGGTGCTAAACGCATTGTAACAGCTGCGCAAAAGGTAGTTAGTATTTCTTGACCATAGTGCTACTCTTGTGCTATGCGGGATTGCAGCTGGAGACTGCTAAACGCAATGTAACAGCGCAAAGAAAGAGAATGATTGGGTAGCAGAAGCTATACCAAAGAGCTAGCTGGGAGTCAGCTCAGAGCAGAAGTAGAACAAATAAGTGGCTGCTCAGAGAAAAAGTAGCTGAGAGAAGAGGTGCCTCAGCGAAGGGGTCGCTCAGTGAAGAAATATAGCTCAACAAAGAAAAGCAGCCCGCCCGTCCATCCATTCATCCATCCATCCATCCATTCATTGGTCCATTCAGTCAATGATTCATTGATTCATGAAGTCACTAGTTCATTGGTTCATTGATTCGTTGAATCACTGAATCAGCGACTCATTGATTCATTGATTCACTGGTTCATCGACTCACTCATTCATTCAGTCATTGATTCAATGACTCATCGCCTCATTGGTTCACTGGCGCATTGATTCATTGATTCATCTACTCACTACTTCATGCCTTCATTCATTTATTTCATTCATTCGTTCATTCACTCCATTCCATTTCATTTCCTTTCCTTTCCTTTCATTCATTCAATCATTAGTTCACTGATTCATTGATTCATTGACTCACTACATCATTCATGCACTGATTTATCGATTCATTGGTTCATTCGCTCAGTTGGCATCCCAACCACCATTTGCTCGTTTGTTGACGCGCCTCACAACTTGAACCGTTCATGGCTTCTGCATCTCAAAAACGTTCCTATAGGCCATTGATTTCTTATACTTATCTCCTATGTTCGAAACTTCCGCCCCGGCGCGTGCCGGGCATTATCTGGCAATGAGAACGGGGAAAAAAGAGAAGACTATCGGACTATAATGGTTTACAAGGGAAAAAAGGCATAGCTATGGGATTAATGACTTCATAATGGTGATATAATGGAAAAGCTTTCTACAGTATCACTGCGAATATGTTGGGAACATCGAACAATTGGGGTATACCCTCGGGTATACCCATGGGAATTTTATGGATTTCCCCCCATAGGTTGGGATGATTCTTCGAAGCCGTCATCCTACAGACCTCCTTTCAAATCATCCTGGTCCTGCAGGAAATGGAAGATGGACAAATGTGGCTGAAACCAACCAAGCCACATATTCTCATTCTCCTGTGAGCCACAAGACTGTTCATTTTCGTCCCTCAATCCCCTTGTACCAAAAATAAAACAAGCGTAGCTCCCCAAAAATTATATATTCTGTTTTGATTGTAGCCTCATCTCAGAGGTAGTCCAGGCATTTGTTGGGGCTGATGGCTTGGAATGACAGAATTTCCTTCATGGGATAACCATGTAAGCATTGACCACCCAAGCAGTTTCCACTGCCCATCGCTGGAAACCTACCCTTGCATTCCCAGCGGCCGCAAAAGTCCAATACCTCTGCAGTCCTTAGCAAACATCATGGTGAACCAAGCCCGAGCCGACCTAAGCCCCATCAATTTTTAAGTTGGGTGGTGGAAGACACCGTGAGAACATAAGTGTCACTGTGGTAAAGAGGACAGGATCATGTATGATGATATATACGGTAACTACATCTAAATATACGGATTTTCAAACATACGAATACGAACTGGTATCTTCGACTACCTCCAGGAAGGCTTCCTTGGCCGGCCCAGCCATTTAAACATACGGAATCCAAAATATTTAAATACATTTAAATAAATATACGGATGGAACTGGTGTTTCATACTACCTCCGGGGCCTTGTGGTCTGGCCCGCCCTCTCATATCTAAATGTCACTACTGTATATTATATATATATACCCTGGCAGTCCAATGTTGATGTTTATCTACGCATTTGATCAATGTCAAACTTTACCTACGCATTTGTGTAATGTCGATGTGTACTCATCAATATTTCGTACTGCTGCCGAATCGTGATCTTGGACATGTTTCATCGATTAAACTCATACGATATCACTTTGAATCACTTTTGCCGCATATTTCCCACAGGCTTTCATCTTGTTTTTCACTCAACGGTGCGTTTGCTTGCGTTTGTTTGCAAGCGTTGTGCCCTATTTTTCCCATCAAACTCAATCTTGGAAACGACACCATGGAGGTGACGGAACAAAGGCCTGGAATTTGGAAAGGCATCTGGACCACCAGACTTCACGGGTAAGCGCGGCATTTCACGAGTTTGCACACCGCATGTCACGCAGACTTCACGGGTACTACACGCATCTTGGGTTTGTTTGGTCCTTCGGTGGCAACGCTAAGGATTTCCAATTTCTTTGAGTATTAAATCATATTAATTCGATCTGTAGTGCAATGAACAGATGACATCAGCTTCTGGGAGTGGCAAGTTTCCAAGAACATTTAAGGTCCCATGTTTTGTCTCTAAACTCTCACATAAAGGATGCAGGAGACTTGCAAATAGGTAATTGATTTGTTTCCGTCCGGAAATTCAATACGTGTGGGCTCCAAATCAGTTCCAAGGGCCCCTAACATTGGGAAATCAGAATGATGAATGTACATATATATATATATATATATATGATGATGATTTGGCACTTCAATATCCATTGATTTCTTCACAGGGGTTAAACATCAATATTGATAATGTTGCTGTTTAACCAACCAAAACATCAACATTGTCTGCGTAGGAGGTAAACTTCAACATTGACGCACAGGGTAAATATAACTATGATATATATGTATATACATATAATTGTGTATATAATTTTATATACATGATTAAATTATATATATATACACATCATTATATATATAACTATGTATATAACTATGGTATTGTATGGTAATGCTGGGTAATCATGGAAGATATGGGATGGTTTGGTGTGCTATAAGCACAATACATTCATCCCAGCGTGGTTTCCACTGAGAAACGCTAAGATAGGCGGTGTTTCATACTTTGATCAATTCATGTTCTTTTCACTTTAGAAGGTCACCAATCGCAAATGGTTCCACACAAATGGTTGTAACTCATTTGTGTATAGTTAAACCATAAATTCAAAATCTATTATGTGAATCTATGTAGATACATAAAGGAAAAAAGCGTGCTCATATTATCTAGTTGCTAATTTGGATGCAAATTCAAGTATTCCCCATTCAAAACTGGAGGACTGACACAATTTTGGGGTTTACACTATAACTCATAATATGATAACTTTCCGAGATTCCCCAATTGAACCAACATGTTCTGCTGTTCAAAGAGAACCGGATCGTTGAAGTTCAGGCCCTGAACTTATACCCTCTGTCATTCCATGATATGGGTTGGTCAACCGGGATTCCCAATTTATGGATTATGTAGATCCTCAATATATATATATACATAGTATACATATATATATATAAGATATATATATATATATAATATACATACATATATATATTATAACTATATATACATAAATATGTGTATATATATACATATGTAATAGTAGTATAACGCCCGAAATAATCCTCGGCCAACAGAGCTTATCAACACTGCTGATTTGAAGTTTCATAAAATTGTGAATGTGCATCTCCTGACTTCTCCACTGACGGTTCCATGATTTCCCAGTCCATTTATGTGATATGTGACACACAAAAACCATCCCCACCGACAGTAAGAATCATTATCTCAAGACACAAGCCATGTTTCCTTCTGAAATTATAAAAGGACCTTCAAGAAACATCAACAGAATCAACAAATCTTAGGAACTCCAAAGAATTGCACGAGACTTCGAAGCTCCCTGCCACGTCACGTGTTCAATTGATCTCCCAATGGAAGCTTCACGGCCACTTTGGAACCTCCGACCGCGACCAACGATCAGCCTAGGACTGAAGATCCTAACGGGCTTTGATAGATCGATTCCTCACATATCAATAACTTAGAGAGTTTAGAACTTGCAATAGATACCAATACATCGATCATACAATCTATGTATATCTATGTATATCTGGTTTGTGGTACACCTACCCCTCTGAAAAATATGAAAGTCAAATGGGATTATAATTGTTCCCAATATATGGAAAAATAAAAGTCATGTTCCAAACCACCAACCAGTGGGATCATCCTCCGAGTTCGTGGTTGAAAACCGCCTGGCTTCCCCGCCTGCATAATGGCCCTGGAGAACGAGCGCAAAGCCTCCTTTGCCTGGGACCAAGCCTTGTTTTGATGGGGAAACTATGGGACAAATGAGGAGTTTTAAACATGTTTTTGGTGGGATTTTGAAGGTTTTCCCATGTTTAAAGCATGATGTTCATAGAAACCCCACCTAAATTTTTGAACCATGGGATTTTGAAGGTGTTCTCATGACTTTCATAGAAATCTAACTAACACAGGCCCTGAACGCTTTGAACACTGCTCAGCACGAAAAGAAAGTATGGTTTTCCAACTCCGAGCTCATGGGTGGAGGCTCTATCCTAGTTGAGGTGATGGTATTTCCCCACAGATTCAGAGAATGTTGTCCTGGTCCTAATTCCAAGCATCATAATTCTACTACATAGTATATATGTAATGGGTGATGGTGGGTGTGTCTAAAATAACACACATGAAACCATGGACAATATGTAAGGAACATGAAGAATCATGAAGATAGAAAACCCGTTGATTATGGATTAAAACATTGGTGTACTAGTGTACTGTCAGGGCTTGCTGTGAAATCGCATTTTTGCCACACAAATACTTAAACTAAACAGAATATATCATCAGATCATGAATAATACAGTACACGTTATGGATTATCTTTTGCCTGACATCTTGACCTACCGACGCAAGCAGAGGTGGATACTGCTGCCGAAAGCCATCCACTAGACTGGATAGACTGGTACCAAGTGACAAGTGACGCATACATTGAACACATCGAAGTATTCTCAATCGCCATTGAAATGTTGATCAAATGTTCATTGATCTTCATTGATATTGATCAAATCAAATCCTCATTTGTTCAGTGCTTAAATCACTGAAATCCCCACTTTTCATGGTTAAATCAGACCTTTTTTGTTGGGAAAATCGCATGAAAAATTCAGGTCCGGTCCCATCCGATCCTAACAACGTGGACTCAAAGGTAATGTCGGCCCAGTCCTGGACGTGTCGGCCCAGACAAGGGGATGTCATGATTTTTATGGATGGATATGTAGCTACATGCATACATGTATATGTATTTTGTTCATACTTATATTGTAAATGCAGTTTTTCGTAGTTATATTGTAAATGCAAATGATATTATACATATCATTTTCCCACCTGCCAGGTGACGAGGTGAGGGTCACTATATAGATTTTAACAAAGGTACAACTCCTTCTCCTAGTTCTCTTCTTCCTTCTCATCTCCTCCTCTGCCAACTCGTCATGACTGTGGGCATCAATGGATCCGAGCCATATCGCGAGCTCCGGATACAGCTGGGCACGCAAGGACCCAAACACTATGGCAAGCGCCGGATGCAGTCAAGCACGCCTAGACCTGAACCCACGCCTGGACACGATAGAATGCCTGTCAGAATGCCAGAATATATGTGAAACAGAATGTCAGAATAGATGCCAGATAGAACGTCAGAAAAAAATGTCAGATAAAATCATGTCAGAGTATATACCAGAAAGAATGTCAGATAGATGTCGGAATATTTATGCCATATATACTACAAGATGATATGTCAGAAACTATGTCAGAATAGTGTGTCAGGGAGGGGATCACTCGAAGTAAGGTAATTCATAGTTATATTGTATGTGTATATGTGTATGTATGTATATGTATATACACATACTTGTTCATATATATATATATATATATGCATGATGCCACCAACCAGTCATCTTTAAGATCCGATTGGATGTTGGTGGTTGGGAAGTACTTTGAGGTGGGTCATGATCCTCTTGACGAAAGACTGACCTGCTGGAGTGGTAAACTGAACCGGCATACTTTGCATTCCTATTAAGTCCTACTGACTTTTTACCAGTTCCATTGCTCAATCGAGGGTCTTTACACAAATGCATGTATGCATTTACATATTCGTGTATATATATATATACATAGTATGAACGTCTATATATATACATATACATATACACCCTATAGTTTCTGTATATATTTTATTAAATGGTTCGATGAATTGTGTGTAGTTTTAATATATCTTACGCGCATGACATTACATTACATTACCTTGCATTGCATTACATTATATTACACTACACCACACCACACCACACCACATTACATTACATTACATTACATTACATTACATTACATTACTTGCATTGCACTACATTGCGTTGTATTGCATAACATTACATTTTATTATATTCATGTATATTCATAATATACGGGTTCTTGAAACAATATGTATACCTTAAACATAAATTTCATGGGGACACTTGTGATAAGCCGGGTCAAATTTGTAGGTACCCCATTTTCAGACAGAACCATTACCTCCCATCATCACTAAATTGAGGCCCCCAGACGATACGTTTGTTCGTGTATGTTACCCCCATCTAACTAGTTCGATATATCATGATCATTCATGATCTATTCCCCATTTTCTACCAAACAGCTATTGTGGTGAATTACAGTAATCCAACAAACAGCTATCTTGGTGAATCACTAGGTGGATCCTCCCCCGAATCGGAAGTGACTAGGAACCATAGTTATTTCACCATCTATAAATGGGAGGACCATAACCCATTTACAGATGGGAACCATAATTCAAATATCGGTGGATCAATGGGATTTCGGCTAGCCATTCATAAATGGAATCACCCCATTTTTATGGGTATAAACCATTGTCATGGATGGTTCACCACGGTCCGGTGGGGTGGTCCCCCTGCGATCCAAAAGTCTATGAGCCACTTCTCTTCCGCCGCCATGGCTTTCATGGCTTTCAGTTGCATCGCCACCGGCGCCGCATCACCTGTGACGCATCAGCGAAGGGTGAGGGTTTCCCCAGAGATGTCCTATCAAAAAAAAAATCGGAGCTGCGGAAAAAAAATCTTTAGAGACCATTTTTAATCGCCCATAAATCGACCATCAAGTTAATCTAAGTTAATCTAAGTTAATCTAAGTTAGACCATCAATCGACCATAAATCGACGTAAAAATCGCCTTTTCTACGCGACGGATTCCATGGGATGACCCATTGATGACCCGGATGGGGATTTCGACCAAGAGCCACCGATTAAACCAGTCATCTACGAACAGTTCGATAAATATATGGTTAATATGTGGTTAATATGTGGTTAATATACTCTTAATAATGGTTAATGATGATGGTTATTATATGGTTAATCATGGGAAATAATAATCTGGTTGGTGGTTTTTCCCTACCCCTCTGAAAAATGATGGAGTGAAAGTCAGTTGGGATGATGAAATCCCCAATATGATGGGAAAAAATGTTCCAAATGTTCCAAACCACCAACCAGCCTAAAAAAGTTTGACACTCAACCAATTCAGCACAAAAACTGTATTTAAGTCTATCATAGTCTACCGGGGTTGTTGCCGCCACACAAAATGGGGCACTCCAAAATTGCCCATCACTTCAAACTTTTGCCTTCACACTCAATTATCACAGTGTTGGTGAAATATTCAATATGTTCCCAGTATATCCCATTCTTTTCTATTATTCAAATATCCATATTTTTGGAGTGTCTTTTCCCCTCTACCCCCAATGATCCCCGCTGACCCATCAGCCCCGATGTCGAGTGGCGGGTTTTCGGGGTAAACACGATGCCTCGAGACGGGGCAAAATGAGGAAATGATCCCTGAGATACCTGTCCTTGAGACGACTCAGTTTGCAGTGGGATGCGATAACACAAAAGTAACATGAAAACATCTATCTTATATATATATGTGTGTGTTATATATATTAAAACATATTTATATGCAACAAGCATTCACCAGGGTGTAACAACAAAAAACTTCCAGAAATGCGGCCAAAAATCTCTGGCTAGTCCATAAATCTTGCCAAACGATCTGATAATGAGGGAATCTCCTTTTTGGGCCGCCCAAACATTGGATGTTTGCCCCAGAAACTGGATGACAGTACTAAAAATTACCAGCCAAATTCTTCGACATGTGTATATCTATGGATATATATATATATAGTTATATATATATGCACATAAGTAGATTACATATTGATTTATATCATATCATATGTATATGTGTAATACATAGCCCTGTGTCAAAAAAATAATCAAGTACAAATGACCCACTTTTATTGACCGCAATCAGATGGCAAATACGTCTGAAGGAACGCAGGGCATCTAGTTACGGAGGAAAATGGCGAAAACTCCAATAGGAGATTGCTCTTCCAAACGCAATAAAACTATGTCAAAATTAGGTGTATATGGAATGAATCTACAATACTTCGAGTTTTGATCCTCACACTTTGTTCACTATGTCACTTGATTTACCCAGAACCAACATGAGCCAATAAAAAGGCTTACTCTTCTCAGGACAGGCTATACAGAATATATTGAAAGAATGGTCCCACCAAACATACCTGGTTGGTGATTTCAACCCCTCTGAAAAATATGAAAGTCAGTTGGGATCATGAAATTCCCAATATATGGAAAGTCATAATCCATTCCATGGTACCAGTCACCACCAACCAGATACATTTCACAAAGCAACACTGACGGGGAATCGAGAGGAAACCTGCCGGTGAAAACGTCATGGTGTTGACATGTCTCTACTTTGCTACAGTATATAGATATAGCATTGTCAACTATAGGAATTTCCTGAAATCAACATCTTGAAAAAACCAACATTTTTTTCGTCAACAGAAAAAAATCCTCCGGTAATCAAACATGCCAATGGAAAACCCTCCATTTAAAGTCTCCCTTGGGGGATTTCCGGTTGCCATGTTTGCCGTTTATCATTGTGGGCCATGAAGTTGAACCATATACTGCAGCTAATGAACACTGTATGTATATATATATATACACCAAAATATATGGTGTATATTATATATATATATTATTTTATAATAGATATGTGTATATATCTATAGATTGTACCTTGAGGGCACTCACGGATTTCACCAACACAATAATGTGTGTTGTCCGTTTGATCAAGGACGGCTGTCCCATCCATTCTTGTTTAGATCAGGCACTGCTTAAGGGTCGACTCAAGCCGCTGGTCACCTGATACAAAGAACAGAGCGCTCAAAACGGAGGGAATGAACGTTTCAATCAGTGAAACACCCCAACAAAAATAGATTCAAGGTGCTGTTTTTTTTTGGAAATCATGTTGTTTACCCAGAACGTCGAGTTTTCCTGAAGCCTTTTCCAATTCTAAGAACTGATAAGACGATGAACATCGAGAAACATGCGGTCCTCTTCAGCCCTGCCAGTAAAATCTTGGCTCAACAAAAGATCCCATCCCCCGTTTCATAGAAGAAACACCCCCCAAAAAAAACATGATTTAGTAGGACCTCCTCTGATTTCACCATAGATGCCATATCTGTACCTGGACCCTCCAAAAATATGCCTACTTGGACGGTCTAGGGTGCTGACATATACTAACATAGCCATGGAAAATCACATTTATTTTATCATCTTGGGCCATGGCTTCCATAGCTATGTAACAAATTTCCGGAGGGTATAACCAGGGTATATGTGCAATTTCATGGTCCTATGTGAATATATGCAGAGATCGGTTGGATAGCCAATCTGGCAATGTTCATGGGTTTTTAATGCGGCTTAAACAAAAAGGTGGGGCCAGTTACAAATTGATATCAACCCCATCAACCTTAGATGTGGGTTTGACTGAAAATGGCTTATTAGTCAAAAAAATAACCATTTTCATGAAAAAAAACATTATCATGAAAAAAACACATTATCATTGTTATTAGTATTAACCCACCCACCCAAATTAATCATTCTCATCAAAAAAAGGATCAGTATCGGCAGTTTGAAACCCATCTACCGCCAACCCTACAGGTAAGGCCCCCCGGTTGCAATTTCGAGGAATCAACCCCATGAACTATATATATAGTTAAATATATATATAGTTAAATATATATATATATCATTTTTAGTATTTTATATATATGTAGGCATACATATAATATATATATAATAGTTATATATATAGTCATATATATATAGTAATATATATATAGTCATATATATATATAGTTAGGTAAATCAATAATAAATAAATAAATAAATAAATAATAATTAAATAAATAAATAATAATTAAATAAATAAATAAATAAATAATAAATAAATAAATAAATATATATATATACTCCCATAAAACCCAACCGTTAACGTGGTGAACCCAAGAATAAACCATCCCCAAATTCACCAGAAGCCGCATCCCCGGTCGTGGGGCACCCCGGATTGCGCGTCGTCCCAGACGGGCGCCGTCGCAGACAGTGGTCCACTGTTGGAGAGGTTGGAGTTTGGAGTCCTTGGCGCAACACCAAGAAAAACATTCAGATAATTTCAGATATATATGGTGTATCTATGATATTGATAATGATGATATAGATTGTGTATCTCATCATATATTTCTGTATATGTATCTTATATGTGTGTCTTGGGAGATGATCCAATAGGATCCAATTCCTCGGTCGAAAAGACTTCCCCATGACCTGATGACCTGATGCGAAAGGATGCGAAAGGTATGAATGGGAGAATGATCCCCATAACTTTTGGAACATTTTTGAAGAATCATTCCGAATCATTCCCATTCCCCCGTTACATTGAAGAAGGGGTTGCCTGCGGTTACCTTTGAAGAAGGGGTTGCCTGGGTTGCCTGCATTTTTTAAGTCTTTGGAATCCTCGAAAATCATCCATCGGACGTTTCTTTAATGGATCTTAAATCTTCAACATCAGTGTCATGTATCAATTCTATCACAGTCTGCCCTCTGGTTTTGTCTTAAACTGGTGAACCCCAAAAAGGAACTCAAGTTTGTAATTCTAAAGTGTAAAGCAATAGACTTGAGAAACACTCACAAATAGATTATATATATATATACAAATGTACTTGTACATACATATTAATACCCCAAAAAGATCGATGCGTAATTTACCACTGTCACTATCTCAGTAGGAACTGACTTTCTATTTCTTAGGAGTTGCTATTACAGTAGTCAATGTGTACCTACCCTTCTGGAACCTTTTAAACCTATTCATGGTAATATTGCGGACTGTTTGTGGCTTTGGGTTTACAACACTATCAACCTATATATATATATATTTATAACATACATGTCATATCATGTCATACATCATGAGGATAACATATACTTCAGATAACATAATGTTGGAATACTGAATGCAGTAGTCAACCCTTACATTCACCACAATTCCAATAATGTTTTGACCTGAGGTCCTATCTTATCCAGACCAATCAAAAACAACTCATCAACCATTGTTTTTGAGACTATCTGACACTTAAATATCCGTATGTTTGATAGTTGAAACCACCTTTTTGAGGGTCAAACAATTGAACTGCAATGCAAGTCACTACCACAGGGAAACAACTATGGTTATGGTTATTTCTGGCTGTTTTGGGGCCCAGGTATATATATATATGTATAGAGAGAGAGAGAGACATACATACATACATACATACATACATACATACATACATACATACATACATACATTAATTACATACATTAATTACATACATACATACATACATACATACCATTACATTACATTACATTACATTACATTACATTACATTACATTACATACATACATACACATGCATACATACATACATACATACATATACATACACATACATTCACATACATTCACATACATACACATACATACACATACATACACATACATACACATACATACACATACATACACATACATACACATACATACACATACATACACATACATACACATACATACACATACACATACACATACACATACACATACACACACATACATACATACATACATACATACATACATACATACATACATACATACATTACATACATAGTATAGATAGTAAGCCCCAACAACATAGAAAAAGTAAAATCTTAACCTAAAATATTTATGAATCGAATCTTTTCATATTTTGTCTGTCTTTTTTGTAGGTTTCTGAACTGCTAGTTGTTACTATGTTCCTTCATCACTATCATAATTCCCACTACATACACATGTGTGCATATAGGATACATATAAGAGTTGCAAATAAGGTACACATATAAGACACACACATATATATATATATATATATCATATCATTATCATACAAATGTTACATATCATGTGTAAGATACACACATGAGATACACACATAAGATACACACATAAGATACACACATAGTACTACATCATAAGATCACATATATTATTATATATTATTATACACAGAAACAAGCACATTTACACAGTATATGATGTAAGTTACATGTGTAATATGTCATGATGATCACAATAAGTTTACACAAGATATGATCGCAATATTTCAGAAATATATGATCATGATCATAACACGATAAGTCCATCATATATAAGATCATAACATAATATAGGTATATATATAAGAAATATATGATCATAACATGGTAAAAGATACACACATACATTTAATTCTCATCATGATAAGTCCCCCTCGTCAAAGCTTCGATGAGGACGAGAAAGGGCCCCGCCTTGGCGAACTGGATCTAACCAATGGGGATTTTTCCGAAGAGTGGGATGAATAGGGGATGAATGATCTATGATCAACATATTGCTATTTGATCTAAATGATCCCAATAATGATATGATACTAATATGATCCTAATATGATCTAAATCATTCTATTTAGTGGATGGTCTATGATCATATTGCTGGAACAACATATTTCTCTAATTGGTGGTTGACCTACCCCCCTGAAAAATATGAAAGTCAGTTGGGATGGGTTATCCCATCTATGAAATGGAAAATAAAAAATGTTCCAAACCACCAACCAGTTCGGGATTACCAACATGATCTACCAACAACATGATTTTACCAGCAATGGGGATATGATGATGGGATACAAACAAGGCGATGCAGCTGTAGTTGAATGTTGTTGTCTATACCTGCCGCAAAAACAACTGGCAAAAAGAAAGTCGTCAGCCACACCTTTTTTTCTCGAGGCAACTCAAAAAACACTCAAACTCAACTAAACCTATAACCTGTTAAACAATACATGTATATATATATATATATACATACATATATATATATATAAATAATGCATCGAGAATCAAATCTACAAAAACATTCGTTGTGGGTTCGCCTGAGAGTATGCAACTCCAAAATTTCAGGGTTTTAAGGGTATACGAACAATTTTCAGACTCATTCCATCATATCAAGTTGGTCATTTTCCCACAAAAATCCTTAGACAAGATCCTCAACAGGTTCCAACTTTGGTTGATTTTCTAATCTTTATGGCGATGAATCACATGATTATCCCCAAATAATGTGTAATATCCCAAAAGAGCATCATACCCTCTGGTAAACTAGCTTTCAAAAATGTTAGTTTTTTGCAGTTCGCACTGTGAGTTTCCCAGGAGCTCGGCTCGCCAGGCGACTCAATTTCATGCTCCGCCACTGCGCGCAAGATTTTCTCCTTGGTGAGGTCCTGGAAAAATCAAGCGAAGATCCATGGTATTTGAATACATTATTAGTAATTATATATGATCTTAGTATATCTGGTCTATCTATGATCAGTATACCAAAAAATGTTGTATTCCAATCGTTACTATATTGGTCTTACTATTGTTAGTATTATCATTAGTATATATAAAAGATTTTTTGTTTGTGGATATATATATATATATATTGATATAGTATATATTCGTATGTGTATTATCATTGTGATCATTATCAGTATTATTCCTGTCCTCCTTATTAACATCATTGTGGCTTACGTATGTATGTTTCAAACACATGTATGTATTGTTATTATTCTCATTATCACCATGTGTATTATCATCATAGAAGAAAACACTATGCTATATTTAGAGCGTTATGCTCTTAATGATGATAGATATTATTGTTATTGGCATTATCATGATTAAAATATCAGGCGTCATCATCCTCATCCTCCTCCTCCTCCTCATCTTCATCATCATCATCATGATTATGACTCTCTCTCTCTCTCTGTGTATGTATATATGTATATGTGTACATGTATGTATCGGGATTCTTACTGGCACGTGCTTATACCTGGCGTTACAAGTCGTAGAAGTGGGCCTAGAAGACTAGAAGCTGCTACATGGAGTTTTGGATCATGAAACTTGGCTTCGAAGTCTTAGAAGCCACCTAGTCCTTCTGAACTTGACATGTGATGATGAGTCACTCAAGGTGAGTACATATTACAGGATGGTCCCCCCAGTGATGTTTGTTGGTTTGTAAACCCCGTTAACTATAGAGTTATATACCATAAATCATAGAATTCAACCATGTTAAATCACTAAATCTGGATCCTACATCTCCTCATCAATCACCCTATGGTCAGCTATAACATAGCTATTGATTAGGTGATGTTCAAAAAAATCATCCATAATATGTCTGTAAAATCATGGATGATTTATTCAGTAGTAAAAAACCAATCAATAATCATTGATTACCCTAAAAACATTCATAAAATCATCTGCTATTCAAGTCTGTAAAATGGTAAACACCCTCTGGTAAATTAACAGTTTGCTTTTGAACATGACCCATTTTATGGATGATTTACCGAACTTGAAGATGGTGATTTTCCGGTTCGCTATATTCATTTACCATGTAAGTCAGAAAATGACCCAAAAATAGCTTGAATTTATGGACATCACCGAATTCCAATCCGAACATGTAATAATGTGTATATATATATATATATTGGTAATGTGTATATATATATATATACATATATATATATATACATATACACATTGTGCACATCATCCATCCACTATTGTGGGTCAAAAGCCCGTAGTAGCGGCAGGTTACATTACATGTGATTACACAACCCATTCCATGGCAAGGGCCTGCAAACCTGACGATTGGCTCGACAAATCGGATACACATTTCTTTGGGGGAACATCAAAAAAAAGACATTGTGTATCATCCTGATTTTCTCAATAAACCCATCTCATCTCTGTTTTTTCCTAAGGGTAATTTATACATATTTATAAACCATCCTGTGATAATATATATATATCAAAGAAATCCTACACATATATGCATATATGAGTCATATATGTATGTATGTCTGTCTGTATGTCTGTATGTCTGTATGTCTGTATGTCTGTATGTCTGTATGTCTGTATGTCTGTATGTCTGTATGTCTGTATGTATGTCTGTCTGTCTGTATGTATGTATGTATGTATGTATGTATGTATGTGTGTGTATGTGTGTGTGTTTGTTTGTTTGTTTGTATGTATGTATGTATGTGTGTATGTATGTATGTATGTATGTATGTATGTATGTATGTATGTATGTATGTATGTATGTATGTATGTATGTATGTATGTATGTATGTATGTATGTATGTATGTATGTATGTATGTATGTATGTATGTATGTATGTATGTATGTATGTATGTATGTATGTATGTATGTATGTATGTATGTATGTATGTATGTATGTATGTATGTATGTATGTATGTATGTATGTGTATATGTATATATATATATATAGTTATGTATGTATTCATGTACTGTGGATGGCAGAAATCCTGCACCACCTTGTTGAAACCCTATAAAAAATGGGATGCTAAACCCTGGTGGATTAATTGTGGTGGTTCCCCCAAATAGTGATAAATGGCTACTGAAGTGGTACCCCCCAATTAAACAACTGCTTGGAGTTTATTAATCCGGGGTTGACATCATAAACAATGAAAATTACAATGCTTAAAAATGTTTAATGGGTAAATCAACTATTTCTATGGCCATTTTCGCTATTTTGACATAACCAGAGGCTAATTTACCCTCTTGTAAACTAACATAACTATGGAAAATCCACCATTTTGAATGGGAAAGTCAACTATAAATGGCCATGTTCAATAGTTATGTTAGTTTACCAGAGGGTAAATGTTGGCAAGACGTTTACCAGACTCCACTACACTACACTACATTACACTACACTACACTGAATGACACTGCACCACAGATAGACAGGTAGACAGATAGACAGACAGGCAGATAGATAGATTAGATAGATAGATAGATAGATAGAAAGATAGATAGGTAGATAGATAGATAGATAGACAGGTAGACAGCTAGACAGATAGACAGATCAAAGAGAGAGAGAGAGATAGATAGATAGATAGATAGATACATAGAAGATAGGCTGGTAGGTAAGTAGATAGTCAGAGAAAGAGAGAGAAAGAGAGGAGACCTCAAGCACCTTTCGGTCCATCAGTGGATTCGCTCTGCCATCCCTGATTCACAACAGCCACTCTCTCCTATAGTTTTCCTATTTTTGAAACTTCCGCCACCGCCTTGTGCGGTACTACTGGTTATGTTAGTTTACCAGAGGGTACAATGAAACGTTGGGAAATCCCCAGTGATCCCCGAAGACACGAGCGACAGGCGCACCTTGTGCACCTGCTCCAAACGTAAGAACGAGGCCCGCTCGCCGATTTCGATCCAGCAGCGGCCCAGTAGACCTGGAGCCGTCTGGAGGCATCTGGAGCCGAGGTCCGGGAACATGTGGAAAATATGGAGAAATCATCAGTTGAAAGCAGTTGAAACCAGATCATTTCAAAATCATGTGGTTTCAACTGATCATTTCTCCATATTTTCCACATTAGTTGATAATTGAAAGCAGTTGGAACCAGATGAAACCACATTGAAATCAGTTCAAATGAGGTATTCTTAAACCATCTTAAACCATTAGATATGGAAATATGGTTTTGTTGGGGATATCAAGAGGGAGAAGAAATATCAGATATTGACATGTTTGAAATATGGGATTAGATGCGGATTCATGGGGACATTAGATATATTGGGATAACGGATCAATGGAACGTGTTTCTTGAAAATTGATGGTTGGAACTATGTCTTTCCCATCAAACATAGGAGGATTGGCCATAAATGTTCCCAATAAAACCTATTCCGGGAAGGGAACTACCAGCCAAGTTTTCTACTTGGAGGATCACCCCACTTAGATCCACTGCTTGGTAACTGGGACTTTCTTACCCATCTATAAATGGGATAACCCCACAATTAGGGAACTTACTAACAAGGCTTTTAACATGTTGACAAACAACTCACCAAGTCAGTTGATTCTCCAGGAAACCCTGAAAACCGAAACCCGGTTGAACCCCAAAACATAAAACCATCTAAAACCCTAAAACTCAAGACCCTGAAGGCGTCAAACCAAAATTCACTCAAATCACTGCGCATAGCTAATGCTTTTGCAAATTCTTTGTGAAACTCTAAAGCAGCCCTGAACCCGTAGAATTCTGGTTGATTGGTACTGGCTGGGTGAAATAAGCAATGACACCAAGGAGATTCTCAAGGAATGTTTGGTGACATAGTGTCGGAACAGTTCACTAATTCCATGGTTCATCTAAGTGGGTGTGTGTCAAAAAAAACTACGACCATAAATATCATATATATATATAATTACATATGTATATGTATATGTATGCTTATATATATATATCAAATCTATCGATATTAGCATCTTAACTTATTTTTCCATTTTTTGCCTTTCGGTCTTTCGATGCCCAAGGGGATGGGATCTCTTTTCCAGCTCGACAGCCAGGGGACAGCCAGGATGTGATGGTTGTCATGTTGGGATGGTTCATCACGTTTCATTTTAAAAAAAACTGGCTATGTAAGATGCTATTTAAAGATGCTATTTGAGGCATTGAACCAGGTAACCAGGTAACCAGATCCGCGAGGAAAGAATGGGGGGGATGAACATCCATATAAAAAAACAGTTTTTTTTGCATCTATATATGATTATATATGCTGTAATTGGTGTGACAACCAGGGCACCATGGTCTTTACAAATCACAAACCATCTCCAAATCAACAGTTTCATGAATTGTGATCATCCCCAACACCCAAAATAAAAATACATCGACCATGATTTATCAATTATATCCACTTATACATATCCATTATTTGGATGGGTAAACTGGGTAAACCCTGTGAAACGACTATAGCCATCAACCAACCGGGGTTTAGCAGCCACTGCTCAAATATAATTATTCAAATATCTCTTATGGGAACCGTGGCTAGGACCCCCTTGCAACCCGTGCGACCCTAGGCACCGACCATGGCACAAATGAAGATGCGGAAGGACAAATTCAACTTCCGAGCCTGGTCAGATGTAACGGCTTGGGGACATGGTCTGTACTCATATGGAATACCATGAGTGTATAGTGGTATCTATATATATATATTTATCTATATATCTATCTATCTATCTTTCTTTCTTTCTTTCTTTCTTTCCACCCATCTATCTATGTATCTATCTATCTATCTATCTATCTATCTATCTAATTATCTATCTAATTATCTATCTTATTATCTATCTAATTATCTATCTAATTATCTATCTATCTAATTATCTATCTAATTATCTATCTATTTATCTATCTAATTATCTATCTAATTATCTATCTAATTATCTATCTAATTATCTATCTATTTATCTATCTATCTATCCATCTATCCCCATATATACATAAATATTTACATACAGACATACTAATACAAATGTTGCATCGTAGATGGATGCTTGTATGATATGTAGCTATGTCCATGCAATATGTACATATATATATATACACACATACACCTCCATAATATGTGTACACAGAACAAAGAGGCGATCTGAAGGAGTTGAGTCTGGTTTTCCTCCAGAAATCAAACATGGCTGGCTCGGAAAAAACATATAAATATAACAAACAAATGGAGGTCTTATGGGGACAATCATCTATAAATTCGATAGATTGCTGGATTTTCCAGCTGTTCCACTTCCAAGTGAAGATGGCTGCATCTAAACTACAAGAAGATGCTTGACTGGATATTGGGCTTCTCAAGCCTGCAAACAGTGATTCATGTTGTCTTTCTCCAACTCCCTAGTTCAAGACTCCACAGATAGTTTTTTGTTTTTTATTTTGGTAATTGCCCACCAGACCAAAGTAAATATAGCTACAAAGGATCCCCAATCCCACCCTCCCTGTCGCGGCAACGCTCGCACTGTGGTCTGCAATGCCACACTGGGGCCCGGTTTTGGGATGTTTGGCGGTTTATGTTACCCCGTCTAACTCGATATATACATATTATGTATATATATATACATCCCTCAGAATTCCAACAGTTGTCGTAGTGAACTAAACCAACAAAGAGCTATCATAAATCAGCTTTAAAAAAATGCTTTGTTGCTTTAAATATGTTTGCATCATCAATTGCCATCATTTTTGCTACTCCAACTGCAAAAAAGCGGCGGTTCCCGTAGCCAAGGAGCCATGTTGCCATCGGCTTGAGGGGCAGGTACTGACAGAGCCAAATAAGTCAGTGGAAAGAAGGGCACGCACCATAGGCTCACCTGGGCAGGAAGCGACCAAAAACTCACGACATTGAAAAATGGATTTTCATCAAAAGATTTTAATGGGATTTCCATGGTTAATAATGGTTGATAATGATTAATAAGTTAATAATGGTTAATAATGGTTAATAAGCTAATAATGGTCAATAATGGTTAATAATGGTTAATAATGGTTAATAATGGTGAATAATGGTGAATACTGGTGAATACTGGTTAATACGGGTTAATATTGCTTAATAATGGTGAATAATGGTGAATAATGGTTAATAATGGTGAATAATGGTTAATAATGGTGAATAATGGTTAATAATGGAAATGGTAATGGTGAACAATGGTGAATAATGGTGAATAATGGTTAATAATGGTTAATCATGGTTAATAATGGTTAATAATGGTTAATAATGGTTAAGATTGAATCTGGTTGGTGGTGCAATTTCACCATCTTGAAAAATGATGGAGTGAAAGTCAATGGGAAGGATGACATCCCATATATGAAATGGAAAATGAAAAAATGATTGAAACCACCAACCAGGAATGATTCAGTAATACATATATATATATATATTTATGTTAGTGACTTTTCTGATACGGGTGATTTTTTGGGGGGGGTTGTCGAAAGGAAGCAAGCATGTGTTGCAGGAAAATTGCGCATACATGGATGTTTTTTCACGATAAAACCGTTAACACCTTATTTATACATGATTGTACATTGCCATGATTGACTAGAAAAGAGTAATCATGACTTAGAAGGATCATTTTTTTATGCGATTCTGCACCACAAGACTACCTACAGAACCTTGATCCAACCTCTCCTAAGTTGCCTAGCTCCGAAATTTCAAAGGCCTTGGAGCGACTGGTTCTTTCTTGCCATTTCTCGCCAGATTGGGCAAATTTGATGGGTGATTTTCTATATGTTCTCATTGAAATCTTCATTTCATGGATGACCTCCATGTATCATTTGATATCAACCCCGGATTCAACCCGGATGAATTTGGGGGGTCAATTAAAATAGTGATTTCTGTGATAAGTGGCTACTCAAATGGTACCCCCAGAATTTTTCACAACGTGGGGAACATCAATCCGAGCTTGATATTGCCACTTCCAAGGATGTCGCGGTGTATCTGGATCAGAGGGACGGATTTTTTACTCTCTTGTGGCTGATCTATGGGGTGTTCCTGAAGTGAAGAACCCGATGAAAAACCCTTCAAAACTCTGTGTGCGCTATCATAAGCATGTCTTGCATGTATAGATATCATGTTTCTGTAATGTCATTTTTTTTCCGTCACATGTTGCTATTGTCTAGTACACACTGGTAAACTAACATAACTATGGAAAATCACCATTTTTGATGGGTAAATCCGCTATAAATGGCCATTTTCAATAGCTATGTTAGTTTACCAGAGGGTAAATGTTGGCAAGACAGGGATGGGTCAAAATCTTGTCGAACATCTCCTGAATAGATTAGCTGCGATTAATTCAAGGTCATTTTGTGATGCTCACACATGTTAACAACTTTTGTCTTTTCCTCATATATATATATATGTATATAAATATATATATATATGTATATATATATATGTATATATATGTATATATATGTATATTTATGTATATAAATATATGTATATGTATTATATATGTTTATATATGTATATGTATATAGATGTATCTGTACATATATATATAGCTTCATATTCAACCCCAAACAAAGGATTTGAATCTTTAATTGCTATTTATCTATGATTTTCTTCAACATGATCCAGCACCTGTTTTTCCCCACATCCATATCCCATTCATGCCGTTCATGGTTTATAAAACACCCAACATCTCCAGTAGGGTCGAATTTCTGCAAGAAGTGACCGCTGCTCGAGCAGGCAGCACCACGAAATAGATCACAATGAGACATGCAAAGTTTCCTGGGACAGTGGAGGACTTGGATCACCTATACGAGCCGTGAAACATATCACTGTAGGGCTATCCTTTTTTTGAAAAATAACCAGATGCTACCAGGTATTTCATAGGATGGGATACGAATGCGTCGCAGCAGGAGATGCAACTCAGAACTTGGATTCGCAAAAGTGCGCTCGCAACAACTCTCTGATCATCTTCAATAAAAACCACTTTCACAAATAACCAACAAACACACTCAACTAATTATCAATGATCTATCTGTGTAAATTACTTGAACCGGAAAAAACAACAAGAACAAAAAAACTTCACGGATTTCAAAATAGATGGCTCAACTCAAAATACCCAAGAATTTGAGCCATCGATGGTTCCACCGATCCCCAGGGTCCCCAGGGTCCCCCGGGTCCCCAGGGATCCGAGGCGCCGATCAAGATGGCATCAGAGGATAAACTGCAGAGACCAATGGCCGTAGAGAGCTGGGATCCAAAGGCTTCGACCACATCCTCCAAGGCGGGGAGAGAAGTGAAGTAGATTGGTAGCTAATAAGAACTTTTTCCTTTATATTATATATAATATAAATATATATATATAAATAATATGTATATAATATATTTATATATATAATATGTATATATAATATGTATATATAATATGTGTATATATATATATACGTGAACTACTCATATATATATATATGCATATCCATGATTAAGACCTTCATTGTTTGTGATTGGTGTTTTGTTTTATCACATGAGTCGATAGGAACATCTAGGTACACCCACGAAAAAAAAAAAAATCATGGAGCTTGGCCTTTCCCCAAAACCCGGGTGGGTAATGAGATTTTAATGGGATTTCCATGGTTAATAATTGTTAATACGGGTTAATAATTGTTAATAATGGTTAATAATGGTGAATAAAGGTTAATAATGGTTAATAATGGTTAATAATTGTTAATAATGGTTAATAATGGCTTATAATGGTTAGTAATTGTTAATAATGGTTAATAATGGTTAATATTGGTTAATAATGGTTAATAATGGTGAATAAAGGTGAATACTGGTGAATAATGGTTAATAATTGCTAATAATGGTTAATAATGGTTAGTAATGGTTAATAATTGTTAAACATGGTTATAATTCTGGTTAATCATGGTTAATAATAATTAACAATGGTTAATAATGGTGAATAATGGTTATTAATTGTTAATAATGGTGATTAATGGTGAATAATGGTTAATAATTGTTAATAATGGTTAATAATGGTTAATAATGGTTAATAATGGCTTATAATGGTTAATAATGGTTAATAATGGTTAATAATGGTTAATATTGGTTAATAATGGTTAATAATGGTGAATAAAGGTGAATACTGGTGAATACTGGTTAATACGGGTTAATAATGCTTAATAATGGTGAATAATGGTGAATAATGGTTAATAATGGTGAATAATGGTTAATAATGGTGAATAATGGTTAATAATGGTTGATAATGGTGAATAATGGTGAATAAAGGTGAATAATGGTTAATAATGGTTAATCATGGTTAATCATGGTTAATAATGGTTAATAATGGTTAATAATGGTGAATAATGGTGAATACTGGTGAATACGGGTTAATAATGGTTAATAATGGTTAATAATGGTTAATAATAATGGTTAATAATAATGGTTAATAATGGTTAATAATGGTTAATAATGGTTAATAATTGTTAATAATGGTGAATAATGGTGAATAATGGTGAATAATGGTTAATAATGGTTAATAATGGTGAATAATGGTGAATAATGGTGAATAATGGTTCATAATGGTTAATCATGGTTAATAATGGTTAATAATGGTTAATAATTGTTAATAATGGTCTGGTTGGTGGTGCAAATTCACCATCTTGAAAAATGATGGACTTCGTCAATGGGGTTGGGATGAAATCCCATATATGGAAAATAAAAATCATGTTTGAAACCACCAACCAGGATCAATGTTATTTATCTGTTTTCCGGATCTGAAAGCCAGTGAATAATTCATGGGCCAGTTTCAAGCGCTACATCTTAGAGGTAAATGTTGGTGAAACAACAGACGGCATTGTAGATAAATGATCATAAGTGCCTATCCCCTGTCATGCAACATTGTATCATATTCACTCATTCAAGAGCAATTATCCATATGGTATATATCAATGACATGTTGACCTGCAAATGGCTGATTCCTGGGGCATGTTGCGGGTTAAAATGCAAGTAAATGGGGTAAACCCAAAAATAAAGCATCCCCAAAATCATCACAAATGGGGAGTACAAACATAAACCATCCCCAAATGATAGGTTTATGACAGCATTGGGATACCCACATTGTTCCAACTCTCCATTCTTCATCTATTGTTAGATATATACCCATTACAATGCCATGATAATCCAATTCTAATCCTATATTTTTCCATAAGTCATATATAATGGACCATAAATTATTGGATGACTGAACTCTCAGGACCACCACAGCCACAACACAATGCCGCACCATCCCAGCCAGGAATGCTGCACGAGATCTCGTCGTGAGCCTGGTCAAAATAGCTGATCCAGCTCTGAAAACATTCGTGCTGTCGCAGTGAGGAGTTGGCTCAAACTTGTATATAATTGGGAATTATAATTGGGAGTAATAGGGGAATTATATATATATATAATAGGATGAATATATATATATACATAATACAAATATATATATATATATACATTATATATATACATGATACATATATATATACATAATACATATATATATATAAATATATACATAATACATATATATATATACATAATACATATATATATACACATAATACATATATATACATAATACATAATACATATATATATACATAATACATATATATATACATAATACAAATATATATATATATACATAATACATATATATATATACATAATATATATATATACATAATACATATATATATATACACAATACATAATACATATATATATATATACATAATACATATGTATATATATATATAAATATTAGGATGAACCGATGAACGAATGAATAATTGGGAATTATACAACGGATGAACGGATGTTGTTTCTCCTCTCAAGATTATCAAGTCACATCTGCAATCTCCCGGTTTTATCGGAGCGATAAAAACAACATGGCACCAGGGTGACTAACGACCCATTCCATGATTAACTGCCCCTTGATTAGTAGATCAAATGAAGCTACCTCTGGAATCTGGAAGATACTCCTACAAGTATTGGAAAACCTCTCCAAAAAAACATGGTATTTGTCGGCCGCCTGCTAGGGGTACTATACCTCTGGATTATCAAAAAGGAATCCCCGGGAAATCACCTTCCAATTTGCAGGAGCCCATTTTGAGACAAAGCCATAGAAATCACATGATTGGTGATATCCCATGCAATATCCAGATGACATATCCTAGTGTAGAGTTTTATACTACCTCGATGACCTATCCTAAAATAAAATGCTGAACTCGGTCCCTCATAAAAGAAGCTTTCCGAAGTCATGTGGCTACCCCCAAATCATCCATTTGTTCTTCGGATCTATGAAATAAACCATCCCTTTACGGAAATCCCCATTGATCGACATCCCTGTTGTTTGTAGCTACCACCAGTGACGACTACCCTGCGGGATGATCCGAAAAGCATGAGGGAAATCGCGGCAAGCGTGTAGAGAATGGGAACGCAGGCCTCCGTCGGTGAAATCGCCAATTTTAAGATGGTTTTATGGGAATTCAGAAATATGAATCAGGGAAGATTCTTCAGCAAACCATGTTTGATTACCGGATTGTATTTTTGTCAGACATGATTTCAGAATATGCATGAATATGTTAGTGGTGTGTTTGTGTGTTTTTGCTTTTCCCGATTTGGAGCGATTAACTTTGATCAATGCGTGAATATCGTGAGGTTTGCGTTGATCTGATCATATGTTTGAAAAACATATGATCATGTTAGATCGTGTTAGTAGATCCTATATAAAAAAACACATATATCTATGTATGTATATATACTGTACGTGTCCCCCCGAGTTGTGAGTTAGTTGGTTTTGAACCCCATCTAACTATATATAGATATATCACCCAAAAACCGGACAAATACTGTAGTGAAGTAAACAAACCTAAGCTATCAAACGGGGGCCCCACTATACATGTGGATATATATATATACCTAGACCTTTCAAATATCCAAAAAAATGGAAACAATACAAAAACAAATGGGCTAAAACACCATCTTTCTTGGAGGGTCTGGGTACTGGCATATCATGTGCTGACATAGCTATGGAAAATCACATTTTTTTTTAATAGGTATATCATCATGGGCCATGACTTCCATAGCTACGTGACACCTATGTAACGAATCACCTGAGGGTCCTGAGTCCTGAGCGTATGAATATTTACTAATTCATGGTCGCATATATATATATATATAATTATATATATAATATGTTCTAACCTATTTGTGATGTGTCTTTCCTTTTAAACATTCACCCAGGTCCAGCTGGACATAGCCATCATTTCTTCGTGCCCTTTGGTCATTTCACAGTTTGAAAAATGGAAAAACACCATTTTTGAAAGGTAATTCATTATTTTTATAATCTATAAATGGGCAATCATCATCTTCATCATCTTCATCATCTTCATCATCTTCATCATCTATTCTTTAAATGTGTTCACTGTTTTCACATGGTAAATCATTGAATTAAATGGAATCTGCAACTTGCAACTTGCATGCAAGTTGCTACATAGTGGGGCTCCCCAGCATTAAGTTGAGTGGTTTTTTCCACCCCCAAACCCTAGGTGTCCGACTTTTTGGCATCTGTGCTATGGGGGTGCCAACTGTCAGCATGTCAATATGCTAAACTATGCCAACCCCTTATGCTTTGGAATCAAAAGATTTTACCACCACTTTGGAAGGTCTCTATGACTGTGTTTATCACATGAGCAATTTTAGTCATACATGGGCCTTTAGGTGATAAAACAGGGACTTGACGCAACCAGGGATCACAATAACAGGGGTCTATTTCATGGATACATTTACAATTTCACAGTTGATCCGTGGTGCAACATCTTTCTCGTCGTTTGACATTGTAGTCTAGGGATGATCCCAACAATAAACCATCCAAGTCATCATCATGTTTATGGGAGGTATAAGCGAAGTATAAGCCATCCCCAGGCTGGATGCAAAGCAGTCAACATTTGACTCCGCCCTCCAGGCAGCTCATAATCATGTATAATATATATATATATATAAATATATACATGTACATGTTGTACATATATATATATTCATATGTATACATAAAGCATCGAAAACTATATAAATAGATATATAGATAGATAGGATAGACAGAATAGATAGGCTAGAGAGGATAAATAGGATAGTCAAGCAAGAAAACATATAGAGCTAGATAGCTAGATAGATAGACAGATAGATAGACAGGTAGGTAGGTAGGTAGATAGGTTGATGGGTAAATCGGTAGGTAGGTAAACGGACAGATGGACAAGTGGACAAATAGAGAGATAGAGGGATAGACAGGTAGATCGATAGATGGATGGATGGACGGATGGATGGATGGATGGCTTTATAGATGGTTATATAGATGGTTATATAGATGGTAATATATAGATGATTATATAGATGGTTATATAGATGGTTGTATAGATGGCTATATATATATATAGACGGTTGTATAGATGGTTATATGGATTGTTTTTTAGATAGTTATCCAGATGGTCATATAGATGGTTATAATATATTGTTATATAGATTGATATATGGATATATATATATGTACATATGTACATACATATGGATATGGATATATATATATATATTATAGTCCCGTGTCGCGTGTTCACGCCCCCCCCCCCACATGTATATACAGTGTGTATGTATATATATATATATGATACACTACTTACATATATATATATATATATAACTTGCATATAAGGACCATCACCATCTCAGGGGGCGAGGGGGGACCACGAGACGCTGGTTCATGTATATATATATATATGTGATTGATATATATATATATATGGACCGACCGACCGACCGACCTGCAGACAGACAAACAAAGAAACAGATTCACTGATTGGTAGATAGATAATAGATAGGATATATAGTGCAAATAGGACAGATAGATGACAACACCGCCCTTTAATGGTAAAAACAAAAGTGGGCAACTACTGTACCCTTCAGAAGAGGCCCAAACTCAGAGCGCAGCCTCTGGTATGGTCATGACAATCTGCATCAGTGACAGAATCGCCACGAGGCTCCTAGGTGCCGAGAAGACAAGTGAAACCATGACCCCTGTGGTCTCAGGATGGGGATGTCCCTAGCCGCTTGACACGTGCACAACTTGGGCAACAAACACAGCAAAAGTAGAGTTTTCATCCGCAGAGAGGGGGACTTTCAGCAAATGATCAAATCCTGACTGTTTCATTCAATCATCGAGTTGCCCATGATAGTCTAAGCACCAGGAGACTGTTGCATCAGGCTCCGATGGCGTCCAAAAAGCCGTTTTGGATGCCATGGCAGCCGAGGCAAATTTCAATGTTACGAGCAACAAAAAAAACAGATGACAACCCCCAAGAAGACAGATGAGTATTTCCAGGATGGTAGTTCGATATCGTGTCCATCTCTAAGTTTTGGACTTTTCTATTTTTTGCAGGGTGCTATGCATAAATAAATAATAATCTTATGTGGATATATATATATATATGTACTATACAGAATACTGTACATCTAATTTGCATGCATATAATATGCACACAATATCATGATCACGTATCCAAACATGGAACACGGTTTCGCGATATGCGCATCCCAACGGGTGCAGTTTTTGTTCGGGTCTCAACCATGGCGTTGCTACCAAGGCGCAAACAAGATAAATAGTTTACATTTGCCTGGCATTTTGGTTCAACGTTGCTGCGTGGGTGCTACAACAGCTACCCTCCGGTAAACAAAAATGGCAATGGAAATTTCATCCTATGGAGGTTTCCTAAAATAGGGCTACCCCCAAATCACCAATTTTAGTAGGTTTTTCCATTGTAAAACATCCAGCTATTGGGGCACCCCCATTCCAGGAAACCCCCATGACACCGGAACGTAGATGCTGAAATCCTGGATCCCTGAAAAGAAGCCATGGCAAACATGGCAAAGCGTCACGGATGACCCGGAGAGAATTAGCAGTAATAGTAATCGTTGACTAATTCCAGTTATCATTGTCAATCTTTGGTCGTCAACAAAGAACAAACAAAAACAAAAAACCAAACAATGACACACTTCCTGAAAACAATGACGCACTTCCGAATGACAGGGCCCTTTTGGTTGGGTTAGTTATCAGGATGGTATGCTTGAGTGAGCCAGCGCCTGATTCAGGTCCGTCAGGTCCTGAATGTCCAAGGAACTCACGTGTTGGGGTTTAAAAAACGGACCAAGGAAAGTTTAATGGGGTTTGATAGGATTTAATGGTGGTTAAAGGGATTTAATGGTGGTTAAAGGGATATAATGGTGGTTAAAGGGATATAATGATGGGATATAGATGGATATAGTGGGATTTAAGTGAGATCCATGGATTTGTTTAAGGGAACATCGACAGGAAAGCACTAATTTTAGATGATTTTAGCTCAAATATATCCATCTCCCTAAGATTGAATAGCCCAGCGACCAATCCGAGTGGGATCCCAATTCCGAAACCAGGTGATTTGAGGTGAAATTGGTTCCCCACAGTCCCTATTTTCTGATTCTCATCGTTGGCTTCTTGGACCTCCGGATCGATGGTCAATAAAACCTAGCAATTTCAGCCATTTGATTCAGGTGAGTCATTTGATGATTGCAAGAGAAGAACTTGTAGAACTTGTCCTTTAATTCCGTGTGTGGATCAAGCGGAGTGGATTTCTGAATATATACATAGAAGGCTAGGAAGCACCATGAGAATCATCACTACGAGTACCATGGTTATCACCAGGAACCATCATGAACACCACACACTTGTCATCACCATACCAACATCACCACCACACAATCATCATCAATATATCATCATCACCACCACACAGTCATCATTCATCAACATAGAATCATCAACATACCATCATCACCAAACATACATCACCATACGATAATCACCACCACCACATTCATCACCATCACCACCACTATCATCAACAACAACATCACCATCAAACCGTCACTACACAATCACCATCATCATCATCATCATCATCGTCATCGTCATCGTCATTGTCATTGTCATCATCATCATCATCATCATCATCATCATTCCTCATCGTCGTCATCATCATCATCATCACCACCACAGAATCATCACAGAATCATCATACAATCACCACAGAATCACCTTACCACACAATTGCCGTACAATCACTACGGATGTCCATAATTACCACTAGAACAGGTAACCTTGCGCTCAACCGAGGAAATTGACACGACGCTGGGGAGCTGGTTCAAGGGAATGTGGCTGGTCACAACCGCATCCCCTGGCTTATTTGCTTAATCATGTCAATAAATAGTCATGTTCCTTGGGACACGCACATTTTAAACAATTTATATATATATATATATATGTCAATGTATATATATATATATATGTGTGTCAATGTATATATATATATCTCTCTCTCTATAAACATTTATATATATAATACATGTACATATATATGTATTATAATATAATATATATATATATATATATGTCTGTATATTCCAATAAAACATCAGAATCACTAGCAATTCCCCAGTTCCCAGATTTCACAAGAAAGGCTGTGCCACCTCGGTTTGACCAAGGTCCTAAGAGCTTTGCTTCAAGAGCTACTCCCAGGGTATGACACTGTCGCTTGAAAAAAAAACATGTATAATACTAGCTGCTGTCGTTCTCATAGAATATGATATATACATATACATATATGAATATATGTATAAATATAAATATATATATATATGTATATATTCATGATAAATGTGCATAAATCATTAATACAATTTGCTTACTTCAAAAATAAATTCGTTAGGGCCCCCCTGAAAAAAATGCCCAGTCATAATATCCAGTGACCAACTGAACCTGCCAGGGCTCAAAGGTAGACAGATCTGCCATCACCGCAAGGATATGTGCCACCTCAATCAGGTCTGCAAGGGCTGCTATCGGATAGCATCCATGGTCAAGTTGCATGCAACTCATGGCATCCCTCATGATTTTCCACCCTGACGCAGGAGAGAATCCGAAAAAAATATTGGCAAAAAACTTGTATGTATATGTATACATAATTCCCTTTTTGGAAATGGTAGGAGAAAAATGACAATCCCCAAAAATAGCCAATTTCTTCAGGTTTTGACCGTGGGACATAGTGTGTGAATCGGTAGATCTCTATAGCTATCTGAATCATCAAGAAAAATATGTATATATATATATTATATATATATATAACATAAACAAATCTTGATCATGAACCAGTTATTAACTGGGATTTGCATTCAAGTGATTTGTCTCGTTTTGATGTGTCATGGTGTGTCGAATTTCTGGTTGAAGATATTTGGAAGGTGAAAGCAGAGGTTGCGTGTGAGTGTTTCTTCCTGCTACCTAGACGCTCGAAGTACCCACGACGGTTGCTTAAGGTACCAAAATAAGCTTGGCTGAGACAACTATGTTTATGGCTAACTTGAGGGTCTACATGCGGCAGTATGGAGACTAGTTGTGGCTCTGAGACTTTGAAAGTTGGAACATCATTAAACCAGGCATTTCTTCCAGGGGCATCTTCATCACCAAAATGGCAACTTACCAACTCAAACTGGTGATTTGCCTCCTTCAAAATGGGAATATGTTATAGGGATGTGATCGAAAGTGGGAACTACTCCACATTGCCACATCAATGAGAAACTTGGATTGAACCACATCCATGATTTCTGGAAAATCCACATTGCGAATATCTCCAATAACGTTATACAATTTTTCACCACCCTTAGATATGGCCTCTTAAACCGTAGTCATCCCACACCGCTGAACTCATGCCACCCATGCAGGACTGGATATACCCAATGGTCCCCAGTGACAAATGTGTTTTATTGAGTTCGCAATTTGGCAATTGCAACGAGAAACCAGCCTCAACTCAATGTCACATCATTTCATAATTTGGGCATTTGAACCAATATTGAAAACCATACCGGACGTCAAGGACAAAAAAAACTGTTCTATGATGGTATCCCCCATGTTCAACCCCCATACCGTACCTCCAAGAAAAGTTTTTTTTTAGTTCTGGTAAGCCCCATGGTCAAACCCAAACCTAGGATTTATTTAATTCCTGGTTTCTTTAGAATTTCCCAAAGATCTCAGAATTTCCCATCTTCTTTTTTTCGAGGGAAGGTTCTTAAGTGGATGAAGCCTACTTATCCCATTTCCACCAATTCTAAGCCACGATCCGTGGCCCCAGTTATGATCAGTTATGTTTGTTGGTTTATAAACCGAATTAAGTATCTGTTAAGTGAAGTCCCTGTAGGTTTCACATAACCCAGGGTATAAAACCACTATTGTAGGTTATCACTACTGTTGGTTTATTAAACCATAGTGGTAACCATAGTAGTATAATAAGCCCCATTATAAGTATAATAACCCCATTAAACCCCATAAGTATAGTTGGTTTATGATACGTTCGTTTATACGTTGGTTTATTAAACTTCAAAAAGTATACTATTCAAAGGAAGTTTAGGGGGAGAAACTTCCGTATTACGGACTTTTAGAATGTCAGGGAAAGAGTTAGTCAAAGAAAGAGTTAGCAAAGAAAGAGTTAGTCAAAGAAACAGTTAGTCAAAGAAAGAGTTAGCAAAGAAAGAGTTAGTCAAAGAAAGAGTCAGTCAAAGAAACAGTTAGTCAGGGAAAGAGTTAGTCAAAGAAAGAGTTAGTGAGGGAAAGAGTTAGTCAAAGAAAGAATTAGCAAAGAAACAGTTAGTCAGGGAAAGAGTTAGTCAAAGAAAGAGTTAGTGAGGGAAAGAGTTAGTCAAAGAAAGAGTTAGTGAGGGAAAGAGTTAGTCAAAGAAAGAGTTAGTCAGGATATATGAGGTAGTCAAAGAAAGAGTTAGTCAGGATATATGAGGTAGTCAAAGAAAGAGTTAGTCAGGATATATGAGGTAGTCAAAGAAAGAGTTCGCAAAGAAAGAGTTAGTCAAAGAAAGAGTCAGTCAAAGAAACAGTTAGTCAGGGAAAGAGTTAGTCAAAGAAAGAGTTAGTGAGGGAAAGAGTTAGTCAAAGAAAGAGTTAGTCAAAGAAAGAGTTAGTGAGGGAAAGAGTTAGTCACAGAAAGAGTTAGCAAAGAAACAGTTAGTCAGGGAAAGAGTTAGTCAAAGAAAGAGTTAGTGAGGGAAAGAGTTAGTCAAAGAAAGAGTTAGTGAGGGAAAGAGTTCGTCAAAGAAAGAGTTAGTCAGGATATATGAGGTAGTCAAAGAAAGAGTTTGCAAAGAAAGAGTTAGTCAAAGAAAGAGCAAAGAAAGAGTTCGTTAGGGAACGAGTTAGTCAAAGAAATTGTTCCCGCAATGTAAATGGGATTGCAAGTGGTGCTGGTGGATGAGTTGCCGATAGAGTTTTGAAGGAAGTCTCGCACGAAATGCGTTTTTGAGAGATAGCAGATGCACGAAACCCTGTGTTTTTCCATACAAAGTCCGTCCCCGAACGCCGATGATCTACCTCTGCGGTGCGACGGGTGCGAGACGGTCTCGTGTGTGGTCGGATCATGGTCGGATCATTCTCGGATCGGTTCCGCATTGTAAATGGGGTTTCAAGTGTTTTCGTGCATGTGCGGTCGACAGAATTCCATTGTGATTTGCAACTGTAGGATCGTTCCCGCAATGTAAATGGGATTGCAAGTGGTGCTGGTGGATGAGTGGCCGATGGAGTTTTGAAGGAAGTCTCGCACGAAATGCGTTTTTGAGAGATAGCAGATGCACGAAACCCTGTGTTTTTCCATACAAAGTCCGTCCCCGAACGTCGATGATCTACCTCTGCGGTGCGACGGGTGCGAGACGGTCTCGTGTGTGGTCGGATCATGGTCGGATCATGGGCGGATCGGTCTCGGATCGGTTCCGCATTGTAAATGGGGTTTCACCTGTGTTTCGTGCATTTGCGGTCGACAGAATTCCATTGTGATTTGCAACTGTAGGATCGTTCCCGCAATGTAAATGGGATTGCAAGTGGTGCTGGTGGATGAGTTGCCGATGGAATTCCATTGTGATTTGCAACTCTAGGATCGTTCCCTCACTGCAAATGGGATTGCAAGTGGTGCTGGTGGAGGAGTTGCCGATGGAGTTTTGAAGGAAGTCTCGCACGAAATGCGTTTTTGAGAGATAGCAGATGCACGAACCCCTATGTTTTTCCATACAAAGTCCGTCCCCGAACCTCGATGATCTACCTCTGCGGTGCGACGGTTGCGAGACGGTCTCGTGTGTGGTCGGATCATTCTCGGATCATGTTCGGATCGGTTCCGCATTGTAAATGGGGTTTCACCTGTGTTTCGTGCATTTGCGGTCGACAGAATTCCATTGTGATTTGTAACTGTAGGATCGTTTCCGCAATGTAAATGGGATTGCAAGTGGTGCTGGTGGATGAGTTGCCGATGGAATTCCATTGTGATTTGCAACTGTAGGATCGTTCCCGCAATGCAAATGGCATTGCGAGTGGTGCTGGTGGAGGAGTTGCCGATGGAATTCCATTGTGCTTTGCAACTGTAGGATCGTTCCCGCAATGTCTAGAAGTTTTGCTAGGGATTGTTGCTAATCGCATTGTAATGGCTGCGTGAACTTGCTGCAGCTTGATTCTTTCAGATTTTGCCTGCTTTCATTTTTTTTTAATTCTTTATAAAAAACGCTTCAAAACTCAACTTTTTCTGCTCTGGCGTCGAGATCCGGTTTTGGAGCTACAATTTCCGACGCCGTTGCGCGTAGTTCTATTGTGTTTTGCAACTGAGTCTCTGCAGATCGCATTGTAATGGCTGCGTCAAGGTTGCTTCGTGCTGTGGCTGCATTCGTAATACTATTGTCTTTTGCAGCTGGATCTCGTAAATCGTCTTGGAGTGGCTGCATGAAGGCCGCCACAGTGATTTGTCAGCAGATTTTCTCCATTTTGGCGCTAAAGATTTTCCTTCTTAAAATCCTTTTAAAAAGTGTTTCAAAATCTTCTTTTTTTTCGCTCTGGCGTCGAGATCCGGTTTTGGAGCTACAATTTCCGACGCCGTTGCGCGTAGTTCTATTGTGTTTTGCAACTCAGTCTCTGCAGATCCTATTGCAATGGCTGCGTCAAGGTTGCTTCCTACTGTGGCTGCATTGGTAATACTATTGTCTTTTGCAGCTGGATCTCGTAAATCGTATTGGAGTGGCTGCATGAAGGCTGCGACAGTGATTTCTCAGCAGATTTTCTCCATTTTGGCGCTAGTGATTTTCCTTCTAAAAATCCTTTTAAAAAGTGCTTCAAAATCGTCTTTTTTTCGCTCTGGCGTCGAGATCCGGTTTTGGAGCTACAATTTCCGACGCCGTTGCGCGTAGTTCTATTGTGTTTTGCAACTGAGTCTCTGCAGATCCTATTGCAATGGCTGCGTCAAAGTTGCTTCGTGCTGTGGCTGCATTTGTAATACTATTGTCTTTTGCAGCTGGATCTCGGAAATCGTCTTGGAGTGGCTGCATGAAGGCTACGAAATAAATTTGTTAGCAGATTTTCTCCATTTTGGCACTAGTGTTGTTTTTGTTGCACGTAGGTTTAGAGCAGTGTGAAGTGTGGGGCGTAAAGAGTGCAGTGTGAAGTGTGAAGTGTGAAGGAATCAGTGGGAAGTGAGAAGTGTGAAGTGTGAAGTGTGGAGTGTGAAGTTTAAGTTTGGAGTGCGAAGCGCGCAGTGTGAAGTGTGAAGTGTGAAGTGTGAGGTTTGGAGTTTGAAGGAAGCAGTGGGAAGTGAGAAGTGCGAAGTGTGAAGTGTGAAGTGTGGAGTGTGAAGTTTCAAGTTTGGAGTGCGAAAAGTGCAGTGTGAAGTGTGGAGTGTGGAGTGTGAAGACTTTGCTTCGTCTCTCGCTGAAAAAATCAAACGGTTGTCGAGGGAAGGACACGGTCGGGACAGGTTGTCTTTGAACTATAGGTCATTTATGTTTGGGAAACTTCCGCCGCCGGCTTGCCCGGGTCTATGTTAAGTAGGTTTCATCACAGTTGTGTTTATACATTGGTTTATAAACCTCTCAGTTATGTGTTTAAACGCGATTCAGTATATGTTAAGTGAAGTCCCTGTAGGTTTCACAAAACCCAGGTATAAAGCCCCTATTTGTAGGTTATCAATAATGTTGGTTTATGACACCACAATGGCAACATGTGGCAACCATCGTAGTATAATAAATAAACCCCATTATAAGTATCATAAACCCCATTAAACCCCATAAGTATAGTTGGTTTATGAGATACTTCTGTTTATAAATTGGTTTATTAAACCCCACACATATAAACCCCATAAAGTATACGATTAAGTAGGATTCACCCCAGTTATATTTATACATTGGTTTATAAACACCGTAGTTATATTTATAAACCCCATTATATATAAGTATCATAAACCATAGTGGAGTCCCTGCAGGCTTCATCTCACAGCAGCAAGCTGCTAAGGCGACGCGTCCAATCCGTCCCATGGCGTTGGTCAGGTGCTGCCGCTGCTGCTGTCGGAAGACCAACTCCTTGCCATTTTTTGGCATCAACAAATGGTGCTTTAACCATCAAAAATGGTGGTTTACTTATGAACAAATCGTGGTTTAACCATGAAAAAATGTGATTTAACCGACACAAATGGTGGTTTACCATGAAAAATGTGATGTGACCAACATGGTGCTTTACCTATGAAAAATGGTTACCATCAGGACCATCAAGAATGATGGTTTAGTGGAATTTAGTGGGGATATAATGGGGATACCCTCACTCTGGTAATCAAACATGGCTAGCTGGAAAATCCCTTATAAATGAAGCGTTTAGTGGGAACATCATCTATAAATGGTGCATTTTCCCTAGGCTAATTTAAAGTAACGACCTAGAAAATCACGATTTTGAATGGGTAAATCAACTATAAATTGCAATTTTCAATAGCTATGCAAAATTACCAGAGGGCAAGTGGTTTTATAGTAAGTGGGATTGTAACCCACTAGAACCAACTTACAAATGGGATAACCGGATAACCCTAGGGGACGAAGTTCGAGGATCATCTCTTGCTATTTGCTGATTCTTTCGGTCTCCCAGTTACGATCTGTGGGATCCTCCAAGCTCCAAGCATAGACCCCACATAGACCACCACATGGGTCTCCGTTTGGCCCAGACAAAACACCATAGTGGGGGTGTCTTAAAATGAATCTCCAGTGGTTACCATGGGGTCCAATACTAAAATGGGCTCATGGGCTGTATGATTTGGGTTACCCCCCCATGACTAAGCTCCATTTCCCCCAAAGTTTTTGGTACTTTTGGTTACTTGAAAATGGCTACGCTGGCTGCTGTAAGTTTCATGACTTTGGGATACACTTGACTCCATCAGGGCCTTCTTGAGGGATTCCCAGCTATAAGCTACAAATTATAGCTGGATAACAGTTATAGAAACCTCATATTCCAACTTCTGCGGGGAATTACCATGGCTATACCAGTAAAGCATCTCCCTCAGATTCCCTTCAATTATTTCCTTGAATTATGAAAGCTATAAGCATCATTGAAAAATGGGTATGGGTCAAAATTGGGTACCCCAATACTTGGCTGGTTAATGTCAAAAACAGACTTACGTCTGTCGTCCTCCAGCTCTTTAATTTTAACTACCCAAATCTCCTCAACTGCCCTGTCCCAACTGACCTTCTTCGGGTCAACAAAGCGCAGCGGAATGCCTCCGAGGCGTTTGAAGCAGCGGCCGCAGCAGCTGGTTCCTGCTGGGGCTGCGTTTGTTTTCTTCAGATTTCTGGGATGGAGAGGAACAAAAAAGTGATTTTTAACCAACATAAAAAGTGGTTTAACCAACAAAATATTAGTTTCACCAAGAAAAAATGGATTTCACCAACACAGATGGGAATTTCAGGAGCAAATATGGTGGCATAATAGCATATAATCGAAGGAAGTTTAGAAGTCAAATTTCCGACAATATGCACAGATGAAAAGCAGTGATGGGAAGAGTCAGAGAGAAGTGAGAAGAGTAGAAGAGAGAAGATCAGAGAAGAGAAAGAATCAGAAGCTAGAAGATATAGGCGTGCAAAAAGGTAGGAAAGTCACGAAACACTGTGCGGGTGCGGAGCCATCTGGCCAGATGAGAGATGAAAAATTGCACACCGTTGTGGCGCGAAGCACATTTCGAAGTCAAAATGTACAAAACACACCAGGTCCGGACCACTTTTGGCAGTTGAGATGTCGAAAAAGTGCATGCCGTTGTGGCGCGAAGCACATTTCGAAGTCAAAATGTACAAAACACACCACGTACGGACCACTTTTGGACGTTCAGAGCTCGTTTCGCGTGGCAGGCGCCAGGGAGTGTGCACCTTCTCAAAAGTGAGCAAAATGTGAGGGTTTTATAGCCAAAAACGATGGCAGGCATGGGACATTTGAAGAGGATCTGCAAAGATGCATTTTCCGTGGCAGGCGCAATACAAGAGACATTTTCATCGGAGCTGTTCGTAAGTCAGGGCGCTGATTTCTCTGAGAGGGTTGCATTTTGGAGCATCAGATCTTCAGGTTTGCTGAGATGATTTCGCGTGACAGGCGCAGCACTTCGTATGACCTGGCATCACTTTTTCGTGGCAGGCGCAATAGTTTAGACAGATGGACTGGAAAAAGCTCTGCAGTCAACTTTCCATTTCTGAAGGATTTCTCGCAGAATTGCTTCGTTTTTGATGTTGTCAAGTTTGAAAAATGAAGAAGTCTCGCAGAATCACTTCGTTTTTGACGTTGTTAAGTTCAAAAATTGAGGACGTCTCCCAGAATTCCTTCGTTTTTGACGTTGTTAAGTTCAAAAATTGAGGACGTCTCGCAGAATTGCTTCGTTTTCAAGCTTGCAGATAGACAGGTAGATAGACTGACAGACAGACAGACAGACAGGGAGAGAGAGATAGATAGATAGATAGGTAGGTAGGTAGGTAGATAGATAGATAGATAGATAGATTAGATAGGTAGATAGCTAGCTAGCTAGGTAGGAAGATAGATAATCAGAGATGAGAGCAAAAGAGAGAGAGAAAGAGTGAGAGAGATCAATCACCTTTCAGTCCATCAGTGGCTTCGCTCTGCCATCCGTGATTCACAACAACCAACCTCTCCGTCATAGGGATATAACAAATGGTGGTTCGACGTCAGTTATATTTTTCATGAGGATAGAACTAACAATGTTCTTTTTTGTGTGTGGGATAATAGTACCAATGATACCTCATTTTGGGGGTAGGTGCGTCCCAAACTCCACACAACATTTATTGAGGATTGAGTCTCCATTCACAGCAATTTTGCAATATGCAAATTAGGTTCTAAACCGCAACTGCTTGGCGAACCATGTATTCAGGAAAAAAACAAATGTGTTTTTTCCTTAAAATGGAAGAAACACATCAAACACTGGTGGTTGGTTGCAGTAATTGCTACAGTATCTGCCCATTTCTTGCTGAAGAAATATGAAGTGCAGGGCAAATATCTGATGCTAAGCGCAAAACACAGATATAATAGTTTAAAATATTCAGGTGTGCAGGTTGATATAAACAAAACACTTATTAAACTACTCAACCAAGATTTACCACCCAAAAAAATGATGGAGTTGGGTTGGATGAAACTATCATTAGCCCCACACATGTCGATTGAAGACGTCGATGTATATATGTATTATATATATTTTTATATATACACAGAAAAATCATGCTGTGTATTCTATGCTTTTGTTGGGATGTTGGTCGTCATTCCATGAGAATCCAACTAGCCTTCAACAAAGATCTGTTACAATTGAACATCTGGCTGTTTCACTTGAAACTCCTAGAATCTCAACCTGCAAAACTCATGGGATAACTAGATCTTTTCACATGTTGTGCTGTGGTTTTTCGTGACGTTCCACAGTTTTTGGATCATTTTTGGTCCAGGAAATTGGCCCAACAACCGCGGCCTCGCGGCCAAAGGACGATGCCCTCGAAGAGCTCTTCGTAGGACGTGCCTCCAGAGACCTGGGAGAAAAAACCAAATGACCGGGGTCACCGGGGATAGTGGTTATATCAAAGCCTATACCCTCTGGTAATTGAACATAGCTATTGAAAATTGCCATAGAAATGGTGGATTTTCCCATTAAAAAAAAAAGTGGATCTTTCCATAGCTATGTTAAATTACCAGAGGGTATATATATATATATACCCCATTTATGGATACTTAGAATTTATGATGACACCCCATTTATGGATATAGTTATACCATGTTATTATACCTCATTTACTGGTTGGTGGTGCAATTTCACCATCTTGAAAAATGATGGACTTCGTCAATGGGGTTGGGATGACATCCCATATATGAAATGGAAAATAACACATGTTCCAAACCACCAACCAGCTATATATATATACATATAGTATCATATAGTACCCCCCCCAAGATCTTCCTGGCAGACTTTTTATAGATACACACACAGATAGATATACATAAATTGACATTAGTGTATTTTACAAGGTCAGCCAACAATGTTACAATAACAATGGGGCTAAACCACAATGGGCCGCTAAGCTCTTGATCCTTTTGAACCAACGCTTCAGAGTAGATCGATGACATATATGATACATGGTTTTACTGCAGGAGTTTTTGCACCCCCCTCGGGCGAGCAGGGACGACTGCGGAGAACGAATAACCCAGAAAAGCATACCCTCGCGGGTAGCCAAATTTCTTTAGTTGGTTTTGATCATTTTTATGCAGTCTTTCAAAGGTCCCTTTAAAAAGCTCAAGCCCGTAAAACCCAGCGCAGCTATGCAAGGAAGGCACATTACCATGCCACGTCTTGCGCTATGCTACAAAAGAAAATCATCGTCTACCTGCGGTTCCAATAGATCCACCGGCCGCCGGCCTCGTCACGGTAATACCAAGCCCCACGCCAGAAACTCCATTCTCGGCGTGCACCATAGTGATCACGATTCCAACTCCAGGAGGCATCCGGGCGACCGGAGCTTGCAGCCTTCGATGTGGTTGTGCTTGCTGCTTTTGCAGTAGGCGGCGTCTCAGGCTCCAAGAATGGTCGTGCTCCTGCTTTGGATGTTGGTGGTTCGGGTGCAAGAAATGGTGCATTGTTGGGATCAACTGGGGCATCAGCGTGCGAGGCATCTGCGCGAGCAGAGCTTGAGGCGGCAGTGTCATCATGTGTGGTAACGGATGCATCAGCTTCGGCTTTGCGTTTTCGCTCTGTGGTGGGCGCGACCGTGGGGTCGGCCTTATGACCTCCAGGACCTCCAGCCTTTGCAGCGGCGCTCTGCTTCTCTTTGCGTTCAAGGTTGCCCCGAACCAATGGAAGATTTTCCTCATACACCTTTTCGAGGAATTCAAGAGTGCCATCAAAAGGAACTTGGATAGTGCCCTTCCAGGTCAACAGGCCACGGAATGCGCCACGACGACCGATGTAGCTGACATATTCATCCTCTGTAAAAATGTGGCGGCCGAACATGAATCCCCAGACCTTTTTCCATGTTTTGCGGAACTCAACTGGGAAACCATCAACACCTCGAGGCTGGGACATGAAAATCAACTTAGATAAGCAGTTTTCATTTTGGGCATTGGCGGCGACGCCAGCCGAGATCTGAGCTTTGGTCCTTGGGGGATCGGGGAGGTTGCCATATGCGAACATGTCGTCGAATATGCAGTCCTGCAGGTCCTTCCCCTCACCGTGGATGCGGTCGCAAAAGGTGACGTCGCTGGAGTATCTGTCTTCCACGTCCTCGTAGCCCAGCGCTTTTGCACGTCGATGCCTGTCGCGGCAGTCTTTGAGGACTGCTGATTCCACGGATGTGATTCCCCTGGGGCCCAGTTCCCGGCGAAGCAGATTGGCTTGCTCATCCGTCAAGGCTGTCAGCAAGCTTCCGCTCATTTTCCCAAACATTCCGAACCCGGCGAGACTCTGCATTCGCCGTTCAAGGATGCGGGTCCTCCTGTTGGGTTTGTCGGCCTCTTTTGTATCGCCACTTTCGTCCACTGGGAGTGGCTCATATCCACATGTGGTGCATGTCACTTGGCCACTGACGTACTCAACCTGGCAGAGGGGGCAGGAGCCCATGAAAGGTTCGCAGTACTTGGGTGCAATGTAAACACGGCGCGTCCTTGCGGGCGGCTGGTCAACTTGCATTGGGGCAGTGGCTGCATCATCATCAGTGGACTTGGCATCGGGTCGCCCCGTGCTGGTGTCATCCATTGGGTCGTCATTTGCATCATCTCGGGCAGTCAGGGTGACCGCTTTGGATTTCGGTGCTGAGGCTGATGCCGCGCCAGTCCATGAGCTGGGCTCGAGATTGCTCTCGGCGCGGGACCAAAGCACCTGTCCTTCTTCTGAGATGCTGACCAGAAACTGCGGTGGGATGCGTTCTGAACACAAAATACCATCCATTTCTGTGCGACTAAAGATGACACCAGCTTCTACTGCTTGCCGCATTGCGATTTTGACTTCGACTGGACATTTTGCTCTTAATCCAGATCGATATCCCTGTGTGCCGATACAGTGTTCTGCCATGTAGATATGAGCACGGCCACTGTTGACTGTGTCACCGCCGCCTGGGATCAGGCCGTTCTGTGCGATGCTCTTCCAGCTGCTTCTCATCGTGCGATGGAAGACAACCTCAGGGACCTCAGTCATGGCACACAAGGGCACGCCAGTGAAGGCGGCTTTTCGCTCGGGGGATACTTGGTTTGAGCAATACACCATGGTTGAATTGGCATAAAGACCCCCTGCGGTTTTCAAGGCAGCTTCGGAATGACCCTGAATTGCACGGATTTTCACAGGATAATACGGCATGCCTAGGCCATTGTCGACAGGAAAATGGGAGATCTTTGCACACAAGAATTGGAACCTACTCTTGCCATGCTTGTCGATCTTCATTGCGGTGCCAAACAGGTTTGCGACAGTGATGAAAACATCTGGGGGCACTTCCTTGCGGAAGGCTTTGGCAAAATCCTCCAAGTCAATCCAAAGGTCTTTGTCCATTGGCACCTTGGCACAGGATCCATGCCCCCTGCAAACTTTGTTGACACGAGTTGCAAAATCAGAAAATTTCTTGTCGACACGAGTCTGGCCAGCAATGGTCTCAACGTCGGATGCCGATATCAGCTCCAGCTCATAAGCCGTACCTTCAAAGAGGATACCGGGCACATCATCCCCGTCTGCATTGGTCACCATTGTATATTGGTATTCAGGCAAATGCTCTTCCATCCAATATGCTTTCACGTGGCCGGATGCATGTCCCTCTAAGCGCGCAGTTGCCTGCGGCTGGTACTGGCTGGATGTGGCTCTTTTGTCATCTGCGGGCTCATCCAATGGTGCTGGTGCTGCTTTCGGCCGCGACTTCAACATGACCTCAGCCGTTTGGACCAGGATTGTTGCTCTGCTGGATGCAGCGGGCTCGCCGTCGCCGGCGGCCTTTGGAGGGTCATCTTTGGGAGGCTCGGCAAAAGTGCCCGAGGGCATCGTCTTGGTGTCGATGTAGTCCTCAGTGTCAGGTTGTTGAGCTTCGACGTCCTCCTTGGTGAATGACCTGCCCGTCGGCGTGATGTGTCTTCGGGACTCTCCAAAAAGCAACTTGGTGATGTTTGCACATGTCTCCTGATAGGATCTTGGCAGCTCGTCCAGGACGGCGCTCATGTTCCTGCGCAAATCATCCCATGTCTCCTGGCCACACTGAGTAAGCTCCAAACCAATTCGGCCAACCCGCCATCCGCAATCAATTGCGAAAAGGGTAGCTGTCCAATAGGCAGCAAGACGCGTGCGATTTTCTTCAGAGGTGGCGAAATGCCACTGGTCTCTGAATTCCATTGCCTCGGCGTACCCCTTTGCTCTCAGCCACGGATACTTCGGATTGGCGAGCCCTTGCAGGCTGCTGGTTAGAGCTTTAAATCTGGGCTCCAAAACATCAAAGAACTGGTCAAAGATAGGATGGATGCCATAGTCAGCGGACCAAGGCGCGGTCGTGAGACCGGCCGACTGCAAATCCAACTCCCGGGCCTTGTTGACAAACCATGTCAAGTGGCGCTCACAATCATCCAGGATCGTGGGCCAGTGCCCGTTGGGGCCATCGTACGGCCAATTTGGATTTTGGGCGATCCCATCCTCTCCTACCAATTCATTTCCGAACCAGGACAAATGCAGGTTGATGCGTGCATCAGGATAACGCTCGCGGGCGTCCGCGGCCAATTCAATCCCACGCTTGACCAGCTTCTGCAGAGTTTTGCCCCAAAGCATCTCATGGATGAACTCAGTCACATACTTAGGCTTGCGCTGCCGGTAATGCTCGGACAGGTCAAACTTCTTAAGTGTTTTCCTACGCCCTGTGATCAATGCACATGACGAGTCAGAGACTAAGATCCAGATTACATCATTGACAGGCATCTCTGGCAACATGATCTTTTCAATGTGGGACTCCTTTGGCAAAAAGCAGAAGCTAAGGTATTCTGCAAGCGGATCCTCTCGACCGTAGAACCTCAGGGCCGAGGCCGGCGTCCATTCGGTCATCAGTCCATCCACGAGGTCCTGAGCAGCCTGATTCTCACCTTCATTGCGCATGGCCAGTGCAAACAAAATGCGATTGTGAAGGAGCAACCATGCTTCTTTGTTAGCCTCACGTGTGGCTTCGAGCGCAGCCTCGCGGCTGGCCGGGTGTGCTGTGGCATATCGCGAGTCAGCCATTTTAGCAGGACAGGCACGAATGACAGCGGGTGAAATCCTTTTGGATGTTTGGCCCACCACAGCTACCCGGAAACACTCATGGAGCATGTCAGTCAACTTGAAGGTATAGTTCTCAGCAAGTTTAAGAGCTTTGCCCCTACTTTGATCATGCTCATGTTTGCCATCACATTTGAATGAGTCTAACACTTCGAGTTCTTTGAAGTTTCCTGCAATAGTCCAACTTTTCTTCATTGGTTGACCGTTGTTTCCAAGAACACCCAACATACAACCATCAAAGTGATGAGTAGTCATGGATCGTTCTATGAG